AAGACAGACACAGGTAGCCCAAGACAAAATACTTCTTCGTCAAAAAAAAATCTAAGAGAATTTCAAAAAAGTGAAAAAAATTAAATTTTTTCACTCTCGAGAAAATCACCCTGTCAAATTTTCGTGAAAAAAAATTAAGGTAAGTAAACATGAGTTTTTTAAAAGCGGGAAATTGTTAATTTTTTTTCCGTCTGACTTTCTTCATGTTTAGGCGTTTTAGAGGACACGTGTTTTTAAAACTTTTTTTACTTGTGCTTTTCTTTTAATTTTCAGGTACTTTTGAACGCGATATTTTTTTTAAATTTGTTAATTTCAAATTTTTTTTCAATTTACAGTCTTTCGCAAAGTCCGAGATGTCTTTTCACTCTTTTACACATTCCAAATCACACCGAGATTTTTCAGGCTAGTTATGTTGCATTGCCAGGAGTTGAAACGTTTGTCCTCGGATTGAGAGACGAACGTCTTAACCACTAGACCACCGCGTCATTTGTCGAAAGCTATTGTTCTCTATTTGACCTAATCCTTTTCGATTAATTTTAAATTAAATAGTAATTTCGGTGGGAAAAATCGAACCTTTCCCATGCAGGATTCGAACCTACCCTTACAACCCGGTAGGCCGTAGCCTTAACCACTGGGCCGTAGGATTGGTTGTTGATAGCTGCCTTAATATACATGTTATTGAGGTAGCCCGGTTGTTAAGGCTTCGGCCTTCCAGGTTGTAAGGGTAGGTTCGAATCCTGCATGGGAAAGGTTCGATTTTTCCCACCGAAATTACTATTTAATTTAAAATTCATCGAAAAGGATTAGGTCAAATGGAGAACAATAGCTTTCAACAAATGACGCGGTGGTCTAGTGGTTAAGACGTTCGTCTCTCAATCCGAGGACAAACGTTTCAACTCCTGGCAATGCAACAAAATTAGCCTGAAAAATCTCGGTGTGATTTGGAATGTGTAAAACAGTGAAAAGACTTCTCGGACTTTGCGAAAGACTGTAAATTGAAAAAAAAAATTTGAAATTAAAAAATTAAAAAAATTATCGCGTTCAAAAGTACCTGAAAATTTAAAGAAAAGCACAAGTAAAAAAAGGTTTGAAAACACGTGTCTTCTAAAAAGCCTGAAAATGAGGAAAGTCAGACGGAAAAAAAATTAACAATTTCGCGCTTTTAAAAAACTCATGTTTACTTACCTTAATTTTTTTCACGAAAATTTGACAGGGTGATTTTCTCGAGAGTGAAAAAATTTAATTTTTTTCACTTTTTGAAATTCTCTTAGATTTTTTTTTTGACGAAGAAGTATTTTGTCTTGGGCTACCTGTGTCAAGCCAGGCACAGGTAGCCCAAGACAGACACAGGTAGCCCAAGACAAAATACTTCTTCGTCAAAAAAAAAATCTAAGAGAATTTCAAAAAAGTGAAAAAAATTAAATTTTTTCACTCTCGAGAAAATCACCCTGTCAAATTTTCGTGAAAAAAAATTAAGGTAAGTAAACATGAGTTTTTTAAAAGCGGGAAATTGTTAATTTTTTTTCCGTCTGACTTTCTTCATGTTTAGGCGTTTTAGAGGACACGTGTTTTTAAAACTTTTTTTACTTGTGCTTTTCTTTTAATTTTCAGGTACTTTTGAACGCGATATTTTTTTTAAATTTGTTAATTTCAAATTTTTTTTCAATTTACAGTCTTTCGCAAAGTCCGAGATGTCTTTTCACTCTTTTACACATTCCAAATCACACCGAGATTTTTCAGGCTAATTTTGTTGCATTGCCAGGAGTTGAAACGTTTGTCCTCGGATTGAGAGACGAACGTCTTAACCACTAGACCACCGCGTCATTTGTCGAAAGCTATTGTTCTCTATTTGACCTAATCCTTTTCGATTAATTTTAAATTAAATAGTAATTTCGGTGGGAAAAATCGAACCTTTCCCATGCAGGATTCGAACCTACCCATACAACCTGGTAGGCCGAGGCCTTAACCACTGGGCTACCTTAATAACGTACATATTAAGGCTGCTATCAACAACCTATCCCATGGAAGGTCGGGGAGTCTTTCAAATGTTTTAAAGCTTCCAAGTCACCGAAAATTTTCAGGCTAACTTTGTTGCATTGCCAGGGGCTGAAACGTTTACTCCTCGGATTCAGAGACGAACGTCTTAACCACTTGACCACTTGACCATCATTTCATCGCCGAGTGAAAGCTATGGTTCTGTTTTTGACCTAATCCTTTTCGATGTATTTTAAATTAAATAGTAATTTCGGTGGGAAAAAACGAACCTTTTCCATTCATGATTCGAACCCACGCTTACAACCTGCTAGGCCGTAGCCTTAACCACCGGGCCATCAGAGTGTATGTTGAGACCAGGCCAACCTTAGAATATATATATATTATTCCGGTCGCCCAGTGGTTAAGGCTACGGCCTACCAGGTTGTAAACGTTGGTTCGAATCCTGAATGGAAAAGGTTCGATTTTTCTCACCGAAATTACTATTCAATAGAAAATTCTTCTAAAAGGATTAGGTCAAATAAAGAACAATAGCTTTCGAAAAATGATGTGGTGGTCTAGTTAGTGGTAATTAAGACGTTCGTTTCTCACACCGAGGACAAACGTTTTAACTCCTGGCAATGCAACAAAGTTAGCCTGAAAAATTTCGGTGTGATTTGAAAGCTTTAAAAAAGTTAAAAGACTTCACGGCCTTTCCAAAGATTGTAAATTTAAAAAAATATGAAATAAAAAAAAACAATTCTTGCGTTCAAAAGTACCTAAAAATTGAAAGAAAAGAACAAATAAAAAAGTTTTAAAAACACATGTCTTCTAAAAAGTCTGAAAATGAAGAAAGTCAGACGGAAAAACTTTAACAATTTCCCGCTTTCAAAAAACTCATGTTTACTTAACCTAATTTCACGAAAATTTGACAGGGGGATTTTCTCGAGACTGAAAAAATTTAATTTTTTTCACTTTTTTGAAATTCCCCGAGATTCTTTTTTGACGAAGGAGTATATTTGTCTTGGGCTACAGTTTCCCACGTCATTATAAGAAAGGTCTATTTTGCAATTTTTTGGGGGGTTTTTTGCTTCCAAATTTCTTTCAATTTACAGTCTTTCCTCAAGACCTGGGAATCTTTCAACTTTTTTTAGCTCCCAAATTATTCCGAAATTGTTCAAGCTAATTATGCTTGCATTCGGCCAGGAGTTGAAACATTTGTCCTTCGATTGAGAGACCAAGGTCTTAACCACTAGACCACCACCACATTCGCTAAAAGCTATTGTTCTTTATTTGACCTGATCCCTTTCGAAGAATTTCAAATCAAATAGTAATTTCGTTGGAAAAAAACCTTTGCCATGAAGGATTTGAACCTATACGCTGATCGTGTGACACAAAACTTACATACATATTATTTCACAGAAACCCACAGCGCCCCGTTTAAGCTTCCAAGAAGTAAACGAAAAAACGCGGCCAGGTATGAGACCAAGAGTCGAAGGTTCAATATATATGACCTTGCTCGATGTGGTGACTGTGGGTTATTAGAGACCTTTAGTTTGACGTTTACGGCAAACGCCAAACCGCTAGCAATGTTTGTGTTTTAACTCCACTATCTTTAAGTGTGCGGCAATTTCGCTAAATTACAAACGTTCTGCATAAAACTTGTGATGTTCAGCAGTAATGTAAGAAAGCAATAGGCTATTTCTGATGTATTTAGAAAAGCAGCAAATTCAGCTTTGCCGTATATGTTTCACGTTCGCCGTATAAAATTTAATGCTTGAACGGCTGAGGGTGTATGCAGTCGTTCAGGCATTAAATTTTATACGGCGAACGTCAAACACATACGGCAAAGCTGAATTTGCTGCTTTTCTAAATACATCAGAAATAGCCTATTGCTTTCTTACATTACTGCTGAACATCACAAGATCTATGTAGAACGTTTGTAATTTAGCGAAATTGCCGCACACTTAAGGAGAGTGGAGTTAAAACACAAACTTTGTTAGCGGTTTGGCGTTTGCCGTAAACGTCAAACTAAAGGTCTCTATTAAACGTTCACTGCTACAGCGAAGGGTTTTTTGATACGTAGGGGGTTTTCCACTAGGCGAAATTTTTCGATCGAACGAAATTTTTCCTTGTGACCGATGAAGGAAATCCGCTAGGGTCGAATTCTCACTGATTGAAAAAAAAATCGAGTAAAAAATTTCGTTCGATCGAAAAATAGTGAAAAACCGCCTTTAATTAGGCAAAATTGACGTTTTTTCAATGTTCTAAAAACCAATCAAATACACTGCAAACCATGATATTAGTTTTATAATAGATTTAAGCAATACTCATTTAAATAAGCCGCATAATTCATGAAAATTTGTGATCATATGGGGAAAATTGAGGAAACATTGTCCCAATGTTTACATTTTATGTTAGTTACGTGATTAAAGAATCCAGGCCATCTGTATAAAAGAGGTGACCCACGCTATTGGCTTAAAAAATCTCGGATCATGATGGGACGAGGTAAAGACCTAACAGAAGGCGAGAAAAGCGTTATTATCATAGAAATAGCTAAGGGTGAAACACCCAAAGCTATAGCTGAAAAAATAAGTCGCCATGTTGTGAGAGTAAAAGGCTCACAACACAAATTTTTGCAAAACTTCTAAGAGGAAATCTAGATCGGATCATGGGGTTTAAAATCAGTATCAAAACGAGATATGAACCGATTGAGGAGGAGTGTATGTAAATTACCTGGATCAACAAGTGCAAGAATTTTTGAAGAGGCTGGTATACCAAATATGACGAAAACAACCCGACAATGTCCCCTTAGAAAGGTTGGAGCTATCAAAAGTCCGGCTAAAAGGTCTCGCCTGACCTCGAAACATAAAAGATTACGTGTAGAATGGTCCAAGAAATATATGAAAACTGAAATGAAGTCTTTCCTATACTGAAGAATCAAGAGCAACGTTAGACGGTCCTAACGGCAAAAGGACGGGTTTCAACGAGGATGAGGCGGCAACAACACAACAATGACAATACTTACTTCAATTTTTAAAACCAATTTTAAAGACGACAGAATGCTGCATGGATAAAACAAATGGCCTTCCGTACAGATACGGCTACATCATAATTAACGAGCAATACAGATTAGATCAATTCCAGCTGCATGCTTCCTTACTTACACGGATTATATATATGACATCAAAATACTAACACTAAGAACGATTGTAAGGAATTGCAATTAAGCATTAGAGTATCACTAACAGCAAGTTGCTTTTCCGATCTTGGCATTTCCTTTGATTCCAGACAGAAAATCAGCCCAGGTCTTTACATTGCCAGCGGGTCCACCGGCCTTGCAATTTGTGGACATTTTCAAAATCTCGAAAGAAGACAAAACTTTATCCCAAACATTGACTCCGGTAAATTCTCCAATGGCTGATTGAAAACGTTCAAACCCACCTCCAACGCTGTCTTGGTCTTGACCCAGCACCCATGTACCTTGGCCTGGAATTGGCTTTCCAACACTGTCAGGGATTGCGCCATTGCCAACTTTATTTCCATCCTTGAAAAATGAATATCGACCACCATTTGCTTGCCAAGTTACGCAAATGTGGTGCCAGAGTCCATCGTTAATCGTGATATTGTGTGAGCTAGACAAATTTTACAAACACTGAGATTCAACATGACGATCTTATATTACGAGAATTCTCTCCCGGTCAATGTCGCAGTGCCAGTGGAATAGGAAACTTTCATTAGTATTACATCATTAAAAAAAGGTATATCCGCATTTTCCCACCTTAAAGAATGTGAATTACCCAAATTTGAGTTGTGGTGACAAATGCCTAGTCTTAGATTTGTCTGCGACATGACGTATATCTGGTTTGTTGCTAATGGGACTGCGTATGAAATGTAATGTGCATTTCCCGTCACTTGCTTCAGTTGCTTGGTCTTTACCCAGAAACACATCGTGACTTCGTTCATCTGAGGAGCTCCCTGGCTTATTGCGTAGTCAACCGTGCTCTGTCTTGTGATTATCGTCGACATTGCACTGGGACCTTGAAAATTAAAAATAGAATGTCAGCCGTCAAATTATATCGTAGATCACCGATCATTATAATACACTTTCTTTTTTATGCATTATATATATACTTTCATATAGTATAATTACAAAATTTTGTATATATCGTTCGCTACACTCACGTTTCTTCTGAAACGATCATCAGGCGAATGATTACTCTTGAGCAGTTAAAGTTTGTGTGATACTTCATATGATTTTATTCACTACAAATTTGTTTCGTATAACAAGCAGTGCTTGCCACACTCATCAGGTTCATTTATCTGATGAGTGTGGCAAGCACTGCTTGTCATACGATACAAACTTGTACTGAATAAAATATTATGAAGTAAACCAAGTTTATTGTTTTTTATCTTCGTGTTATTAGCTCTATACTTCCGTATATCGAGCACTCTACTTATATATGAGCCGTTTTCATGCCCTTATAAATATGTACTAAAACTATATGATTAATGGTTGATAATTACATTGCTTGTTCCGTTTTGCTGATGGGCATAGTTTGTTGTAACTGTACCAACTTTTTTCCAACTCTTTTGACAGCGATTCACAACAACTCTTACCAAGAGGCAAATTTATATAGGCTGCCTTGTTTGGCGAACAGAGTAGCGTAGCGGCATCTGATTTTATTTTCAGTTCATCAAAAAACGAGGATTGACAGATATTACAAGATTGCGATGATGTTGGCAGGACAAACGTGAAGAAAAAAACGAATGTCAAAACAGAGTTTGCAATTGTCATTTCGAATGCCTAAACAAATAGAATATATAGCTGTTTATATATACTACAATATTCGTATATTTATTTATTTGTGTACCAAGCTAATACCACAATGCTCTCGTTAGTAAAGTTCCTTCTCAGTATATCTCTCTATAGTCTGTAACATAACACTTGTATATTGTCCTGTGACGTATAGACTATATTACACATACATACACTGTGATAAACATGGTAGCTAACTTTGTATTGATATATAGCGGAAGATTTATTTTTCTAAGCAGGGCATCTGTAGTATATATGTATAGTGCCATGCATGCATGCATGCATGTTCTAAGAAATTAAAAATGGCTTCCGTGCGAATTTTGTATACTGCATGAATATGGTTTTTCACAAAAAACAAACTAAAATATCAAACTTTTTATAGAGTTAAAAAAATACGCATGCAATTCTTGGTTTTGCCAGAGAATTAACTCACTAAAGACCGACCTGAAAGAGTGTTAATGTTAGCAGACGATTTGACGCGCAACTATATAATTATCTATAATTCGATTGCTTCACTAGCTCTTGCGGTGCCCGCGTCAAGTTTGGCACCGCATTATATTCTGCCTGTGAGTTTGTTTGTTCGCATCAATACGTTTCCTTAATCGCCTAGTAAAAATTCCTTGCACATGCTTGGAATGCTTGGAATTTTTCTTAATTATTACTATTAATCTTGTTGTACGCTTGGCAAATTCCTTTTTTAAAGGAACGTTCTTTTTTCAATTTCAATCTCAAACTCTGATAATTGCGTGTATCTCTGCTTTTATGCACCCAAGAAGGACAAAAATACCACCATTCGATTCAGCGTAAGAAATTATACTTACAGGTTTTAAATATATTACTAAACAAGAGTATTCGCAGCGATTTATGACGTTTGAAAGACAAACGAAATTGAATTGTTGACAAATCGCTCAAAATTACTATGCTATACTTTACTAGTAATAGTAAGTTTGGTCTTTGATATCTTTCATATCGTTGGTTTTCTCTTTTAATTTTCGTCCTTAAATAAGTGGATCGGTCTTACATTACGATTTATTTTATAGTACTTTGAGCCAAATATATTCTATTTCGAAGGTTTTAAAGTATAGTTTCAATAAGCGAACTTTATGACAAATCGCTCAAAATTATTAAACAAATTAAAAATGCAGTACGCTTAATCCTTGACTTCTGTATCGTTGCTTTTCTAGTTTCCGGCTCTACATTTCTCTTCATTTTGATAGTATTTTTAGATAATATTTTTAGCCTAAATATTTTATTTCTGAAGATTTTAAAACGGCGCAATTTTGACCTTAATGTCCAACCAACCAGGCTGCGGCCGACAGGAGAATGTAAGTTGGTGATGTCGTTAGAAATGAGCGGACGTTTTATTTCTAGGCAAGCATTGCGGGCACCGCATTTTAAAACTGTGTCTGGTTAATCTTTATCATCTCTCTAATTAATGCCAATAAGCTTTATATTTTCTAATAATGCCCTGCATGGGTGCGTAACTGCACGGTATATGCACGCGTGCAGAAGCTAAGAGTTTGAATTGATTGTTAAACATATCAATAGATGAAAAATATGGTTATATCAATTTCATCTTACCATTATTGTATGGTTTTACTTGTACCTCGCGTAACAATTTTCTCTCGTAATGTCGATAAGAAAGACGCCAACCTTCCATTCGGGTAGTCCAACAAGAAATGGTATAATTATATTGCCAGATGATGTATTATATGGGGTGAAAAAATCCGTTCCTGGACTGCATGTTTTTCATCGGTGTCTTCCTTTGGGTATTTCAAGTACGGAAGTTCGTAACCCTTTTAAGAGCTCCTCTCTACTGTCGTGTCTTGCGGATATACTCCTTTCTTCGTTTCCTAACCTTACAATTTGACAAGGGGTATTGTCCGTAGCAAAGTCAAAGCCGTTTGCAGAATATTTCAAAGCAAAGGGCTATACACAACTCTCAAGAGTGCATAGCTTAAAATATACTGCAATTGATATCATCACGGTAATTGACACGCTAATTGTTCAACTTTTCCGTAAACAAGTCGTCTGGGTTTGAAGTTTTATTTCTTCCTTGTCAGTGAATTGTTTATGCTAATCGGCTTGGAACGGAATGAAATTATCACATTCGTCTAAGTGCTTGTCGAAAATTCATATTTAAGGTCTCATCCAGTAGCCACGCGAGTTAACACGAGTGCAGACAACTGAGTCGCTCGGTCAATGAGGCTACTCGTTCGTTCTCGTTAAATTGTGCATGTTCACTATTGCCACTTATGAATGCAACGATCGAATAGATGCATGGGGTTGGATTCTGTGGATTTGGTGTGCTTCTCTGGCATAAAGTTCATTCACACTTGTCCTAAGAATCGGGGATCCATTGTATTATTTTCCGATGCAAGCAAAGCATTTTGCACATCAGTGACCTCATGCAGACAAAGAGAATCTCAGATTCCTAGGATAACTGTGAACCTGGCTTAAGGCCTGTTTCACATACTAGCTCCTATGAATCGGGGATCTATTGACTATTGTATATTAGGCCTAGGTTATACGTCGCATTTTGGTAACGTCTAAAGCCCGTCTAATGCAATTCAAACAATAGATAATGAGCTGATTAACCTCACTAAGTTTCATTACCATCTTATTATCTATTGTTTGAATTACATTCGACGCGACTAAAATGCAACGTATAACCTAGGCCTTGCTTTCCGATAGACAAAGCATTTTGCGCACCAGCAACCTCAGACAAAGGGAATTCCAGATTTTTAGGACAAATGTGAACCATGTTTGTGGCCGGTGACGAAAAAATTTACTCAAAGTAACAAAGAACGTAGCCTGTGCCCCAGTCCATACACGGATACAAAGAACGTCATTCATCAATTATCGTCGGTGACATATGAAAACCAGGCTTTATAGTCCTTCGCCTTTGAAACTTTAATCGGCTTGAACTCGTTGTGGTAAATAAGTGAAAGTCACGCAGAGAATATTTATAGGAACGAATATCGAATTGCAAATGTATATGTAATGCATAATTTCTATTCAATTCTGTTTCATTCATTGCGTGCGAACTTTTGTTGGAATTTGAATGCCTTTTTTTATGTTTGACACACGAGTACATTTCAAAGTGGATTTTTTATAATTGCGACAACCTGCGTAATAACCAACGTTCAACAAAAGCAGCTCTATTAGCTCTGTTTACACTAAAATGGGTCCAGGAAAACTTGCAGTCAACAATAGGGTCCTTAAGCATGTAAAACGGCAGCACGACGACGACGTGGTTGGAATACTCCTTTAGATTAATGTTATGGTAAAGTGTTGTTCTATGTTATCAACTGTACCAATTTACTGAGATATAAGATGTTGAAAACATTGTTTTTACGTTTAGGGGCAATCTATAGAGCCTAATTCGAGGTAGCGCACACTGGGTCCTGAAATGCAGACGTTCTACATAGGACGTAATAAACAACGTTTTGCCGTTGTAAACAGAACGTAGATCACGTCTAGAACTCCCATAGTTATTTAATAATTCATTTCTTTTCAATGAAGCATTCAGTATTGATAGCTGACGAAGGATTTAAGCACAAAAATAACCACAAATTCCCACGTACGTGCTATTTCTCATGAGTGAAAATGACTTGTTCAAGACAATTACGAAAAAATAAAAACCAGGCTTCACTAGAAGACAAACATTCGATCCTTTTCATAATCTCACCCATGCAGGACAGACCGAAGGACAGACGGTGACAGACTGTGCGACTGTCATCATGCATGCACAGTGTTTTCCAACTTCAGCAATTAAAATACGTATTTTGCAGTAAAGGTAAATAAACACTTACTTAGCTATATAATCTTTTTATTCCTTAAACCTTTTTAAACCTTTGTCGAAAAGCGTATAGCACTTCCGTTGTACTTTTGGTACGCGTATATAATTTATCACAATAAACACTCGTTGTTCCGCGGTCAGCTGTACCATTTTTTTTCGAAGCAATAACAAGGCTAATTAGTAATTTAAATTTGATCATATTCACAATTTCAAATTTTTGGGCTAAAATTCGTGAGCACGGCATTCAAATTTTAACAATGAGTGATTTCAATAGTTTTCGAGGTTTTTTGAGTCACCCTGTATGTTATCAACTGTACCAATTTACTGAGATATAAGACGTTGAAAACATCGTTTTTACGTTTAGGGACAATCTATAGGGCCTAATTCGAGGTAGCGCACACCCCAGCTAGCACAATCACGTTGTACGAACGTTGTACGAACGTTCGCCGAACGTTGGGACAACGTTGGTTTTATAGGTTGTAGCAACGTTTTTTTGTGAACTCGCAGGAACGTGGAGACAACGTCGGGATTAACGTTAGAACATGACGTTGGTTCAACGTTCCAGCAACGTTAAGTTAACGTTCAGAAAAACGTTGTATGAACGTTAAGATAACGTGGTGTTATTAGTTGTGGGAACGTTATTTTGTGAACTCGCAGGAACGTGGTGACAACGTCGGAATTAACGTTAGAACATAACGTTGGTTCAACGTTTCTGCAATGTTCGTTTAACGTCCAGAAAACCTCTGGAATTAACGTTGTAAGAATATAAACAGCCAAATTAACTTCTAAAATTCGCCAGCATAAAATCGTGGCAGGTTCTTGCAACGAATATGTTGACAAAACATTGTTACTGAAAGGCGTAAATAAACGAGTTTAAAACAAAGTGTTCGGTGTAATACCTGTATTTGGAAAATCGTTTGATTTACAACAATTACACTATCTTATTTACTTACAGCTGATTCAATTAACGTTGTCCTTCTATAACCATAAACGTTAGACCTTGAACGCTCAACGGATGATGGTTCTTTGCATATTTAGACTATTTAGACTGCAATAATACCCCGGCAAGACATAGAAGACTCACGACAGATTCTTTAAAGCATACTTGCTGAAAGACAATTTAATTATTTTGTGTTTAAAGTTAATAGGCGCGCTCAAAGTTTAACGTTTAAGGTTGTGAAAGGACAACCTTATTTGAATTAGCTGTATATTCCGAATATTGATAAATCATAGGTACAGTATATATGGCGATAGAAATATGAGAAATCAGAAAAGACAATGTCATCTCGCACGTGTTAAATCATTTCTAAGCTTGATTTGTCCCGTTCTTGCGATCCTGAAATACAAGAAAGAACATATAAGTTCTAGTTTTTTGGAATTGGCTATCATGCACATCCTAACGTCTAAATAGGCGAGCCAAGAGGCTTAGTAAAAGCTCCACATAAAAAACGTACAGCTTTGCGTATCTTACCAAAACATTTTTCGAGTTCGTTCGCATGAAGTCCGTATAGTAAGTCAGACTTTTAAATATCAGTACATTGAAATATTTTTTAAAACGTCTTAGGTTAGAAAAAGGATACTGGAGTCATTTCCGCATTTTTCAATTTTGATACATAGTAACCTGATGTATATTATAATTGCAAACGGACAGCTATACCTTAATAAACCTTGAGCCACCAGCCTTGCTGGGAGCATATTTTAAGTATTCCGCTATTTTTTCTTCAATATTTAGCTCGGAACTTCCTAGGCCTTGGCCTAGATTTTTGTAATCAATCGCATTTTGATCTGATCTGGGGCAGAAATGTGGACCACTTCTTCTTTTTGGGTCTAGATTTCATGGTCTAGACCTCGCCAAAATGTGTTTACTGTAGACTACAAAAATCTAGTCCAAAGTAGGCCTAGAATCATAGTATAATCACGGCTATAGGTAAGTTAAACCCATTAACTGCCACCATTTTCCCTTAATTAACAAGTAAAATCATTTGGCATTAGCAGAGTAAAATACTAAAGTAGGCGCATCAGGGCACATCCCAATTCAGTGGGTTATGACTGGCAATCTCTGGCCTCTATTGATATGCAATCTCTGGCCTCTATTGATATTAACCTGAGGCTGCAAAATGTTAAGGTCTACTTACACAATACAATTAGATAATGATTCAAAAGAAGCAAATATGCAAATTGTTTTATATGTCAAAACGTTTGTAGAAGAAACTTCAAATGATCTAGACAAATTTCAAATATAAAAGAGCTTTGTCTTTGAATTTAATCAACCTTAAGCCAGCAATTAACAGGCTTTTAAACATGCAGACCCAGACCTAGCTTGGCTTGAGTTATAGTGTATTCATTATTAAACCATTACAGATTATAAAGCGCCTCGTTTCGGTATATTTACATTTTTCGAATTACATACATTGGGAATACACAAAACCATGCGTTGCTGAAGTTATTCGTGGTTGAAAGACTGATGAATGATAAAGATATTTTCAGAATACAAGTATAAAGTCTTTCCCCAAAAGGACTAATCCTCAACCTTTGACCCCAATAGCAAAGAATGGTTCAAATTGACGAATGAAAACATTTCTATAACAAATATAAGACTTGTTTACCTTTACATAAGACTTGAATTGTTACTTTATCAAACAATCCAACACACGAGAGATCTCAAAAGACAGAATTTGCAATAATGCTGCTAATACAGACGCAGTCGCTACAAAATGCAAATTAAAATGGCATCACACACACAATTAATTACAAACACAAATTTTATCAAAACCAATGGCGTATAAGAGGGACATATCAACGATATGTAACAGATAAAATATATACTTACGTTGTAGACGTCGAGAAAGTTGCCAAACAAACAAACGAGTACTCTAATTGAAAAATATACCTCTTGAAAAAGCTAGTCTACACACAATACGTTTTGTTCGCTTCGACGCAAGCACAATGACAGTTGGCGCCAGCAACCGAATCAGTTATTTCAGTAACCGTATATGGCATTAATGACCATATTTGGACTCATTGCTTTCCATCCACCTTTCCGACGGTCAATGCACGTGTATCAAATAACAGGAATTTGGACAAACAAACACAAAGTCGACACACGACACACTATATATTTTATATAGAGCCGGGGCAAAACATTTCATTTTAAAACTCATTTTATGTCTCAAAATTTAAATTAAAAAACCGTATAAAATCATATTTACCGTCATTGCCATTTCGGCCTTCCTCTTTAGACGATATCGGCGTATGATTTCATTATGAAAACGGCGCAAATTGAAACGATCTTAGCCTTATTTAGGCCTACATATGATACACACGAGGTCGCTGAAATTAAACTTTACTCAAGGCAACCGTCAAGTTCAAATATATTTATCATTATATATCCGCACGAGAAATTCTATCAACTCTCTTTCAGATCGAGCCATCATCAGGGAGCATGATATATACATACTGATGCGATCTTTGCTAAATTAATAATTTCTTTATCCTTTATATATGCCACTTGCGAAAGTTGAGTTTCAACGTTGCAGCGACGTTCATAAGCAATGTTTTTGTAACGTTGAATCACTTGTAGCCGAACGTCGTAAGACAACGTTACTGCGACGTTAAAATATAACATTGCCTCAACGAAAAATTATTTTTTATCGAACGTTGCGGCAATGTCAGCATAAAACGTTCATACAACGTGGATAAGAAACGTTAATCAGCAACATTTAACCAACGTTGCGACAATGTCAGCATAAAACGTTCCCACAACGTGGAGAAGGAACGTTAAACGGCAACGTTTAACCAACGTGGCGGCAATGTCAGCATATAACGTTTCTACAACGTGGATAAGGAACGTTGATTGGCGACGTTCCACCAACGTTGACACAACGTGTTCTCATTTAGGCTAAGAACTACAATGTGGTGGGAACGTTGTATTAATGTTAAGTCATGACTTAACCTAAATACAACCTTTAGATAACGTTGGGATAACGTTGTGTGCTAGCTGGGACCATGTCACTGGGCTCTGAAATGCAGACGTTCTACATAGGACGTGATAAACAGCGTTTTGCTGTTGTAAACAGAACGTAGATCACGTCTAAAACTCCCATAGTTATTTAATAATTCATTTCTTTTCAATGAAGCATTCAGTATTGATAGCTGCTGTCGTCGTGTTTCCGTCCTACATGCTTAAGGTCCCTAATGACTGATGAAGGATTTGAGCACAAAAATAAACACAAATTCCCACGTACGTGCTATTTCTCATGAGTGAAAATGACTTGTTCAAGACAATTATGAATAAATAAAAACAAGGTTTCACTAGAAGACAAACATTCGATCCTTTTCAGTACTGTTTACAAAAATAAATCACATACCATGCATGCAGGACAGACCGAAGGACAGACGGTGACAGACTGTGCGACTGTCATCATGCATGCACAGTGTTTTCCAACTTCAGCAATTAAAATACGTATTTTCAAGTAAAGGTAAATAAACACTTACTTTAGCTATATAATCTTTTTATTCGCCAAGTTGCTTCATGTAAACCTGCAACAAATTTGTTCATTAATTCTGCGCACATGCAATGTCGTCCAATCGCTTTTTGTGATCAAATGGTTGACTAGTCAACTGTCAGCGAAATTAAAACATGCCGAATACCATGCTAACTTGAACTTTTTAAAGCAATTAAAAAAAGGGCGACCGAATGCTGGATGGATAAATCAAATGTTCTTCCATGCAGTTGGCTACATAAAAATTAACGATCATTACAGATTAGATCAAGTCCAGCTTCTTGCTTAGTTACACGGATTATATTGTATTACATCAAAATACTAACACTAAGAACGATTATAAGGAATTTCAATAATGTAATAAAATTGATGAAAAAATCTCTCTGGACATGTTTAACATCAGTGTTTTCCTTTATGAAAACCAGGCTTTGAAACATTCATTGGCTTGAACTCGCTAATGAGAAATATATAAAGTGAATGTTACGCAGAGAACATCCATAGGAACGAATATCGAATTGCAAATGTATATGTAATGCATCATTTCAATATTCGTTCTGTTTCATTCATTTGCGTGCGTACTTTCTTTTGGAATTTGAATGCCTTTTTTATGCTTTACGCATCAGTGCACGAGTACATTTCAAAGTGGGTGCTTTATAATTGGGACACCCTGCATGCGTAATAACCAACGTTCAACAAAAGTCCCGTTTACAAGTGTAAAAAAACGCTAGTCTTTGAAATTCATACAGGCCATACTACATTGAATTAGCCTGACAAGTATAATTGCTACGAATCAATTATAGTAAAACAAATATTTTTTATTTATATGACGTGATCGAAAACCGGCTCAGAAATAATGAGTGTTTTGTACAACTGTTGTGTACAGTTTTGATCAATTGGAAGATGAAGAAATGATTGTATGTAATACACCATCTATTTAAGATTTATTGATCTCCTTGGTAAATTAGACACGTTTTTGTCAGAAACGTGGCGACCGGGGGGTGTGCGGGATGTGTAACCCTCCCGTGTGATGTGAAATATGAGAGGCCTAAGCCTTGTTCAAACTTGTCCTAAAAATCTGGAATTCCCTTAATCTGAGGTCGCTGGTGCGCAAAATGCTTTGTCTATCGGAAAGTAATATACAATAGTCAATGGAAATGAATGGATCCCCGATTCTTAGGAGCTAGTGTGAAACAGGCCTTAAGCCAGGTTCACAATTATCCTACGAATCTTGGATTCCCTTTGTCTGCATGAGGACACTGGTGCACAAAATGCTTTGCCTATCGGAAAATAATACAATGGATCCTCGATTCTTAGGACAAGTGTGAATCAACTTTATGCCAGAGAAACACACCAAATCTACAGAATCCAATTCCCCATGCATCTATTCGGTCATTGCATTCATAAGTGGCATTTAAGCGATTTCAAACTTTTACGTGTGTATACTTACGTACAGAAGACGTGACAGTACAAAGGAGCTCTTAAAAAAGATACGTACTTCCGTACTTGAAATACCTAAAGGAATTAAGACACTGATGTTAAACATGTAGTCCAGGAACGGATTTTTTCACCCTATATAATACATCATCTGGCAATATAATTATACCATTTCTTGTTGGACTACCTGAAGGGAAGGTTGGCGTCTTCTTATCGACATTACGAGAGAAAATTGTTACGCGAGATACAAGTTAAACCATTCACATAATGGTAAGACGAAGTTGATATAACCATATTTTTCATCTATTAATTGATATGTTTAACAATCAATTCGATCTTTTAGCTTCTGCACGCGTGCATGCCGTGCAGTTACGCACCCATGCAGGGCATTATTAGAAAATATGAAGCTTATTGCAATTATATTAGAGAGATGATAAAATTAATCGTTAAGAAAAGCAGAGTGAAGCAATCGAATTTTAGATAATTATATAGTTCCACGTTAAATCGTCTGCTAACATTAACACTCTTCCAGGTCGGTGTTTAGTGAGTTAATTCTCCGGCAAAACCTAGAAATGCATGTGTATTTTTTGAACTCTATAAAAAGTTTGATATTTTTGTTTGTTTTTTGTAAAAAACCATATTCATGCGGTATAGTGGGTATTCAAAATTTGCACGAAAGCCATTTTGTATTTCTTAGAACATGCATGTATATGGCACTACATATGCACCAGACGACTTGCTTAGAATAAATCTCCCGGGCTTTAAAAGTTTCACTCATTGAGTCAGTTTGTTCGTTTATCAGTTAACTGAACATTATCCCCGGTTCAAACAATGTCTTTATTGTATAATGAAAGCTAAGAAAGACTTCTATAGAAGTTGGCACTGATATATATATATATATATATATATATATATATATATATATATATATATATATATATATATATATATATATATATATGCTGTATAATTTTTTTTTGTAGCTATATATCAATACAATTAAAATTAGCTACCATGTATATCACAGTGTATGTATTATATTTGTTTAGGCATTTGAAATGACAATTACAAACTCCGTTTTGACATTCGTTTTTTTCCTCACGTTTGTCCTGCCAACATCATCGCAATCTTGTAATATCTGTCAATCCTCGTTTTTTGATGAACTGAAAATAAAATCAGATGCCGCTACGCTACTCTGTTCGCCAAACAAGGCAGCCTATATAAAGTTGCCTCTTGGTAAGAGTTGTTGTGAATCGCTGACAACAGAGTTGGAAAAAAGTTGGTATAGTTACAACAAACTATGCCCAGCAATACGGAACAAGCAATGTAATTATCAACAATCATATAGTTTTAGTACATATATAAGGGCATGAAAACTCTCATATATGTAGTGCTCGATGTACCGAAGTATAGTCTATATAGAGCCTATAACATGCACGAAGATAAAGAGCAATAAACTTGATCTACTTTATATGATTTTATTCACTACAAATCAGGTGAAATGAAATGTCGCGCTATGACTATGTTTTTAATGTTGCCATATGGTAAAATATACTATATTACAGAATCCACGCTAAACGCTGTAGTCCGCAGATAGATATATAGATAGATACCCGAAATCTAATTAGAATTGCATATGTTGTGTAATATGATTGCATGCAATCCCATGCAAATGTAATCATATGCAATTCTAATTAGACTTCGAGTATGTATCTATCTATCTATCTGCGGCCAACGTTTTTGCAAATGGGTGTATATATATGTATATATATATATATATTAATATATATATATATATATATATATATATATATATAAATATATATATACACCCATTATATAGTGTATTATAACGGTTAGTAATCTACAATATCATTTGACGGCTGGCATTTTATTTTCTAATTTTTCAAGGTCCCAGGGCAAAGTCGATGACAATCACAAGACAGAGCACGGTTGACTACGCAATAAGCCAGGGAGCTCCAAGCATGAACGAAGTCACGATGTGTTTCTGGGTAAAGACCAAGCAAGTGACGGGATATCCACATTACATTTCCTACGCAGTCCAAGGAGCAACAAACCAGATATACGTCGCGACGTATAAATATCTAAGACTAAGCATTTGGCACCACAATTCAAATTTCGGTAATTCACTATCTTTAAGGTGGGAAAATTCGGATATACGTTTTTTTAATGATGTATACTTATGAAAGTTTCCTATTCTACTGCAACATTGACGGTGAGAGAATTCTCGTAATATAAAATCATCAGGTTAATTCAGTGTTTGTAAAATTTGTCTAGCTCACACAATATAACGATTAACGATGGACTCTGGCACCACATTTGCATAACTTGGCAAGCAAATGGTGGTCGATATTCATTTTTCAAGGATGGAAATGAAGTTGGCAGTGGCACAATCGCTGACAGTGTTGGAAAGCCAATTCCAGGCCAAGGCACATGGGTGCTGGGTCAAGACCAAGACAGCGTTGGAGGTGGGTTTCAACGTCACCAATCAGCCACTGGAGAATTCAGCGGAGTCAATGTTTGGGATAAAGTTTTGTCTTCTTTCGAGATTTTGAAAATGTCCACAAATTGCAAAGCCGGTGGACCCGCTGGTAATGTAAAAACCTGGGCTGATTTTCTGTCTGGAATCAAAGGAAATGCCAAGATTGAAAAAGCAACTTGCTGTCAGTGATATTCTAATGCTTAATTTCAACTTATACTGATCGTTCTTAGTGTTAGTATTTTGATGTCATATATATAATCCGTGTAACTAAGCATGCAGCTAAAATTGATCTAATCTGTATTGCTCGTTAATTATCATGTAGCCATCTGTATGGAAGGCCATTTGATTTATCCATGCAGCCTTGTGTCGTCATTAAAATTGGTTTTAAGTCATTGATGTGATGTATGTTTTATCTTCGCTGACGGTTGACTATACATTTGATCGCAAAAAAGCGATTTTGCGCCGACATTTTGCGCAGAACGGATGAGAGCATAAAGGCGGTTCTCCACTAGGACCAAATTTTCGATTGAACGAAATTTTTCGCTTACCTTCCTAAATTTAAATCGTGAGAATTCAAAAATGCATGAGACAAACGAATTTTCTAAATTCATTTGCATGCAGAATTCTCACCACATCAGTAAGACAGTAGTGACTGTCCTTGATTGACATTTGATTAATACAACCATGCATGCATACAATTATGTTGCAATAAACAGAAAGTCGCTAGTACCTATATGCTGGCTGCTGGGCGAGCACGCAACCTTATTTGTTGGAAAATATAGTTTTAGGATAGTTGTTCAACTTTTGTTGAAAGAAAAAGGGGCAGTACCACATAAAAATATGCGCGATTGTATTGTTCAGGCCAAGTGTCTGGCTTGATTCCATACTCTGCAGACACATGTTTTATCTTTGACTTTAAGGAGATAATTTGTAGTATTTGTTTTCGTCTCTTAAATGTGACGCTTTGTTCCCAACTGTCAAATTGTCAATACATCGGATGAGCCGGGAGCCCAACTTTTAGCTTTTGAATACACGATTGGGAAATAAGCCAGACTTCGCCAGTATTATATTTACTTCAATTGCTTATAAAGAAAATAATGGTAGATTACGCCAGGTGCTCAAAAGTGTATCTGAGTATGCATGAGTCTGACTGATGTCTGGAAACCCGACATTTTTTTAAAGCACCGACCTTTTTTTGTCATTTTGTATGTGAGAGTTAAAAATAGAGTTAAAATAATGCGTGCTTTACTGAACGCCTCTGATGCCAAAGTTGAGTTTGCTTTCGGGAGAAATAATGCGATAAAGTTTGAAAATTTCAAGTTTTAATTTTGAAATCCGCGACAGTCGGAAACTGGTAACGAATACGTCACAATAAGAACTCGGATATTCCGCCTTGAAATGAAATAATAGTATGTAGTACAAGAGAAGCGATTTTATGCCATCTAAAATCGGTTATTAAACATGGGAGAAATATGTCTTCATCAAGTTTAGCTATTGAGAAGTTACCAAAGGAATGATACAAAAATAAAAATGCAATTTCAATTTTGATTTAGAACTTACTAACTCATATCAAACAAAGATTCTAAAAATTTAAATTCCCATTTTATGACATGGGCACTTTAAAAATATACTATATAGAATAATCTTTCGAACCAAAGCTGTCTATTTTTCAACCAGAGAAGAATTTTGTTTGAAGAAGCCTTGCCCTGTAAGTCTAGTCTTTTTGTGATTAAAATCATTCAATAGTTTTCTCTGTGATAGCGATACAGAAATGGACAATTGTGAAGCACTGGTTAGATTTAATTTCGGGTTAAAATTTCATAAACAACAATTTCTGCGGTGGTACTCATATATATAGAGTAGCATAGTGTAGAAATATCTATAGTAACAGAAATACAACAAATTACGACATGTAAATTACGACGAATGATGACTTTGAGCCTTCATTAGGCACGCAAAAAAGTGCGTGTTAAAACCGTGAACTCACCATGCAGTCCCAGGATAAAGAAATCTTAAATGAAGGCCTTCTTTATGAAGTTTATGAAGAAGAAAATTACCTCGCCGAAGTGTAAAGCTAAGTTCAATCCCGCAGTATATTTAACAAATTTGTTGTAGCAAAATACGTTAATTGCTGAAGTTGGAAAACACTGTGCATGATTACAATCGCACAGTCTGTCCTGGGTAGAATGTTTGCCTTCTTGCGAAGCCTGGTTTCTATATCTAAACGTAATTGTCATGGAAATTTGTGTTTATTTCTTTGCTTAAATCCGTTATCAGTCAATGTTGACTGCACTGACACACATTGAAATATTCCTGACATTTCACGACACTAACGACCAAATGGAAACCAGGCATATATGTGCCGAACCTAATGTTAATATCAATAATGAACTATAGAACCTCTTTTTTTAAACGTCCGCTAGCTGAAGCTCACTAGCTATTATTCAGTATCATGCATGATCAAATAAAGAATCACTAAACCTTTTAGGGAAAGCGTTCGCCATGCACGTTCCTGGTATTTCAGGGACACCATCAGTCAATTCATTTTCATCCCATTTTAGCCGTTCCTTGCCGACCATTTTAATGTAGTGTAAAGTGTAAACATTAGCTTTTCGAAAAGGGAAACTGCCTAGTGAACTGCTGCTGTCGACAACTATAATGATTTAGAGTATAGAATATAGTTGCCGACAACCTGCGCGACAGACTACGTTTTTTAGTTACGTTGTCGATCACAAATAGTTGTCGACAACTAAATCCCTAGTCTGTGGAGGCCCTTATTTTAACTCTCGAAACACATAAGATAACAATTATAAGTTATAAGGTCGGTGCTTTAAAAGAATGCATGTCTGGTTTCCAAACATCTGTTGGACTCATGCGTAATCTACCATTATTTTCCTTATAAGCAATTGAAGTAAATATAATACTGGCTTATTGCGCAATCGTGTATTTCAAAGCTAAAAGTTGGGCTCATCCGTTATATTGACAGTTGTGAACAAAGAGTCACATTAAAAACAAATAGCTATTACAAATTACCTCCTTAAGTCAGAGATCAAACATGTCTGCAGAGTATTGATACTTCCTCTGAACAATAATACAATCGCGCATGTTTTTACGTGGTACTGCTCCTTTTTCTTTCAACAAAAAGTTGAACAACTATCCTAAAACTATATTTTCCAACAAGTAAGGTTGCATGGTCGCCCAGCGTAGTCAGTGGGTAGTTAGCGACTTTCTGTTTATTGCATAATAATTACCGCCTTATGACTTATGTTCTCATGGCCGCGCTCTGCGCCAAATATCGCCAAATCGGTTTTATTTGCGATCAAATGGACAGTCAACCGTCAGCGAAATTAAAACATACATCTGACTTTAATTTTTAAAACCAATTTTAATGACGACAGAAATCAAATGGCCTTCCATACAGATACGGCTACATAATAATTAACGAACAATACAGATTAGATCAATTCCAGCTGCATGCTTGGTTACACGGGTTATATATATGACATCAAAATACTAACACTAAGAACGATTGTAAGGAATTGCAATTAAGCATTAGAATATCACTGACAGCAAGTTGCTTTTCCAATCTTGGCATTTCCTTTGATTCCAGGTAGAAAATCAGCCCAGGTTTTTACATTACCAGCGGGTCCACCGGCCTTGCAATTTGTAGACATTTTCAAAATCTCGAAAGAAGACAAAACTTTATCCCAAACATTGACTCCGCTGAATTCTCCAGTGGCTGATTGACCAGCATCAAACCCACCTCCAACACTGTCTTGGTCTTGACCCAGCACCCATGTGCCTTGGCCTGGAATTGGCTTTCCAACACTGCCAGAGATTGTGCCACTGCCAACTTCATTTCCATCCTTGAAAAATGAATATCGACCACCATTGGCTTGCCAAGTTATGCAAATGTGGTGCCAGAGTCCATCGTTAATCGTGATATTGTGTGAGCTAGAAATATTTTACAAACACTGAGATTAACCTGATGATTTTATATTACGAGAATTCTCTCGCTGTCATGCAATGTTGCAGTGGAATAGGAAACTTTCATAAGTATTACATCATTAAAAAAAGGTATATCTGCATTATTTTTCCCACCTTAAAGAATGTGAATTACCCAAATTTGAGTTGTGGTGCCAAATGCTTAGTATTAGATATTTATCCGTCATGACGTATATCTGGTTTGTTGCTCCTTGGACTGCGTAGGAAATGTAATGTGGATTTCCCGTCACTTGCTTGGTCTTTACCCAGAAACACATCGTGACTTCGTTCATCTGAGGAGCTCCCTGGCTTATTGCATAGTCAACCGTGCTGTGTCTTGTGATAATCATCGACTTTGCACTGGGACCTTGAAAAATTAGAAATAAAATGTCAGCCGTCAAATTATATTGTAGATCACCGACCATTATAATACACTTTCTTACTGTATATATATATATATACTGTATGGCCTATATACCAAATATGTCTTGTTTAGAATCATATATGAGTAGAGCGCTCGATTTAAGTATAGAGCTAATAAGACGATATAAAATACGATAAACTTGGTGTACTTGATATGATTTCACTACAAATTTGTTTCGTATAACAAGCAGTGCTTACCACACTCATCAGGTGAATTTGAATGTCGCGCTATATATAGTTGCCATGGTTGTATATATACTATTTACATGTTTGACGAAAAACGGATTGCATTCATACATATACGTATTGTATTAGGTTACATTACTTAATTAATTAAGAGAAATTTATTTCTATGTCTGCATTTTGGTAAAAGTTCGCTTCTTGAATTCAGGGACTGAACAAAGTTCAGGGTGGTAGATTATGATGAAGTTTTCGTGAGTACAAAGAAAGAACGCTTAACGCTGTAGCCTGTGCTGTAGCTTTAAGTAACTAAAAGTTTAACCCAGGGTTAGCGTTAACCTAGCTTTGAACAACTACATGGCCCCAGGGTGGCAGATTATAATAAATTTTTCGTGAAAACAGAGACTACAGTGTTTAGCGTGGATTCTGTAATATAGTATAGCGCGACATTTAAATTTACCTGATGAGTGTGGCAAGCACTGCTTGTCATAGGAAACAAATTTGTAGCGAATAAAATCATATGAAGTAAACCAAGTTTATTGTTTTTTATCTTCGTGTTATTAGCTCTATACTTCGGTATATTGAGCACTCTACAGTGTATGAGTCGTTTTCATGCCCTTATATCAGTGCCAACTTCTATAGAAGTCTTTCTTAGCTTTCATTATACAATAAAGACATTGTTTGAACCGGGGATAATGTTCAGTTAAAATAAACGAACAAACTGACTCAATGAGTGAAACTTTTAAAGCCCGGGAGATTTATTCTAAGCAGGTCGTCTGGTGCATATGTAGTGCCATACATGCATGTTCTAAGAAATACAAAATGGCTTTCGTGAAAATTTTGAATACCCATGCACTGTACCGCATGAATATGGTTTTTTACAAAAAACAAACAAAAATATCAAACTTTTTATAGAGTTCAAAAAATACACATGCATTTCTAGGTTTTGCCGGAGAATTATTAACTTACTAAACGCCGACCTGGAAGAGTGTTAATGTTAGCAGACGATTTAACGTGGAACTATATAATTATCTAAAATTCGATTGCTTCACTCTGCTTTTCTTAACGATTAATTTTTATCATCTCTCTAATATAATTGCAATAAGCTTCATATTTTCTAATAATGCCCTGCATGCATGGGTGCGTAACTGCACGGCATGCACGCGTGCAGAAGCTAAAAGTTCGAATTGATTGTTAAACATATCAATTAATAGATGAAAAATATGGTTATATCAACTTCGTCTTACCATTAAGTGTATGGTTTGACTTGTACCTCGCGTAACAATTTTCTCTAGATAATAAAGACGCCAACCTTCCCTTCAGGTAGTCCAACAAGAAATGGTATAATTATATTGCCAGATGATGTATTATATAGGGTGAAAAAATCCGTTCCTGGACTACATTTTCAACATTACTCATCAGTGTCTTAATTTCTTTAGGTATTTCAAGTACGGAAGTACGTATCTTTTTTAAGAGCTCCTTTGTACTGTCACGTCTTCTGTACGTAGGTATACACACGTAAAAGTTTAAAATCGCTTAAATGCCACTCATGAATGCAATGATCGAATAGATGCATGGGGTTGGATTCTGTAGATTTGGTGTGTTTCTCTGGCATAAAGTTAATTCACACTTGTCCTAAGAATCGGGGACCATTGTATTTTTTTCCGATAGGCAAAGCATTTTGCGCACCAGTGACCTCATGCAAACAAAGGGAATCCCAGATTTCTAGGATAATTGTGAACCTGGCTTAAGGCCTGTTTCACACTAGCTCCTAAGAATCGGGGATCCATTGCTTATTGCATATTACTTTCCGATAGACAAAACATTTTGTGTGACAAAACATTCTCTTCGCCTCAGACGAAGAGAATTCCTGATTTTTAGGACAAGTGTGAACAACTCTCGGCGATGCATTGCAGTGTGAAAATTTACTCAAAGTAACAAAAAACGTCATTCATCAATTATCGTTGGTGACATATGAAAACCGGGCTTTATAATCCTTCGCCTTTGAAACCTTAATAAGTCACGCAGAGAATATTCATAGGAACGAATATCGAATTGCAAATGTATATGTAATGCATTATTTCTATTCAATTCTGTTTCATTCATTGCGTGCGAACTTTTGTTGCAATTTGAATGCCTGTGGAGCTGTAAAACAAAGATTTTTACAAAAAAACGCTTTCTTTTAAGAAAATCGGTAACGAGTGTTTAGGAGTGTTTATACGTGAAACAAGACACAATTGCAATGATAATTCGCTGAGGTAAATGAGCTAGGTGAAAATACACCTCCAGCGGTTGAAAACGTGAACCGCAAACAACAAACGGCAAAATTTCAACGTCAAGCCACGGTTTGCGGTTTAAGAAAAAACGTCAAACTACATCAGTTTCCTTATAACTATAAGCAATTGAAGTAAATATAATACTGGCTTATTTTGCAATCGTCTATTTAGCTAAAAGTTGGGCTGATCCGACATGTTGACAGTTGAATATAGCGTCACATTCAATCAAGCCAGATTTCTTGCCCTAAAAAATACAATCGCGCATATGTTTACGTGGTATGGCCATGCATGGTTATAGTAATTGTGTCAATCAAGGCCGGCCACTACTGGCTGTCTTACTGAAGTGGTGACTGGTGAGAAGTCTGCATGTAAACGAATTTAGAAAATTCGTTTATCTTTTTGCATTTTTTCACTTCTCACAATTGAAAAGAAAGTCAAGCGAAAAATTTCGTTCGATCAAAAATTCCGCACCACACTAATTCTCTCATCCGTTCTGTGCAAAATGTCGCACAATCGCTTTTTTGCGATCAAATGGGTAGTCAAGTAGTCAACCGTCAGCGAAAATTAAAACATAGCTACATCACAACATTGACGATACTTCAATTTTTAAAACCAATTTTAATGAAGACTAAATGCTGCATGGACAAATCAAATGGGCCTTCCATACAGTTGGCTGTACATAATAATTAACGAGCATTATATGCAGATTGGATCAAGTCCAGCTGCATGCTTAGTTACACAAGATTATATATATGACATTAAAATACTGACAGTATCACTAAGAACGATTATAAGGGATTTCAATTAAGCATCAGAATATCAATGACAGCAAGTTGCTTTTCCAATCTTGGCATTTCCTTTGATTCCAGATAGAAAATCAGCCCAGTTCTTTACATTACCAGCGGGTCCACCGGCATTGCAATTTATGGACATTTTCAAAATCTCGAAAGAAGACAAAACTTTATCCCAAATATTGACTCCGGTAAATTCTCCAGTGGCTGATTGATTAGCATTGAACCCACCTCCAACGCTGTCTTGGTCTTGACCCAGCACCCATGTGCCTTGGCCTGGAATTGGCTTTCCAACACTGCCAGAGATTGTGCCACTGCCAACTTTCCTTCCATCCTTGAAAAACGAATATCCGCCATCTTTTGATTGCCAAGTCATACAAATGTGATGCCAGCGTCCGTCGTTAATCTTGATATTGTGTGAGCTAGACAAAATTTACAAACAAGATTGAACTCAAGATTTTCTTACTTAATTGCAGACGCTGCTGCGGAATAGGAAATAATAACTAGGGATCCAAGGATAATGCAAAGTTTCCATGCCCTCTAATACCTAAGCAACCAGACATTTGTCCCAATAACATGCATAAACGCTTTGTCTTATGCCAGTAAAAATATAAAGAACTAGGTTAAACATTACCCTTAATCAAACAGGAAATTGCATGCTCAAAGTACTCAAATTACGTTAGCCGCGATATTGTCATATTGAATTATAATTTTAGTTGCTCGTGCAAAGCGGGCGCAAAGATCTCAGTTTAGTATATATTACAGGGTTCAGCAAAAAACACCATGTCTTTTCTCTTCGTCAAACAATTTATCATATGTATAAACAAGTTCACACTATGTGCCTGCCTGCCTGCCTGCCTGCCTGCCTGCCTGCCTGCCTGCCTGCCTGCCTGCCTGCCTGCCTGCCTGCCTGCCTGCCTGCCTGCCTGCCTGCCTGCCTGCCCTGCCTGCCTGCCTGCCTGCCTGCCTGCCTGCCTGCCTGCCTGCCTGCCTGCCTGCCTGCCTGCCTGCCTGCCTGCCTGCCTGCCTGCCTGCCTGCCTGCCTGCCTGCCTGCCTGCCTGCCTGCCTGCCTGCCTGCTGGCCTGACTGACTGATTGTATGACTCGTTTGAATTTCCGCCCCTCATCACAATGGCTACTAAAAAATGGAAAGGTATAAATCATATAAAAGATTTATTCGTTAAAGATAGAAGTCAAATCGAATATTTTTTATAAAACAGAAAAAATATATTAATTATCCTACCTTGAGGAAACTTTGGTTGGATCTGATCCATAATGCACAATGAGGAGTCTGAGATTTTCCATGCCCTCAATAATTATCTGGTTTATTGCTAATGGGACTGCGTAGGAAATGTAATGTGGATATCCTGTCACTTGCTTGGTCTTTACCCAGAAACACGTTGTGACTTCCTTCATCTGGGGAGCTCCCTGGCTTATTGCGTAGTCAACTGTGCTGCGTTTTGTGATTATAATCGACTTTGCATTGGAACCTTGAAAAATATATCAGATCTCACATCTGACAATACTGATAAAAAAATCAAAACATTGTATCCTTGATCTCCGTAAACATAGTCATAGTATAAATATAATATGTGCGTTCATATTTGTACTTACATTGCTGTTTCCGCTTAGCCATTGGTCGGCAAAGTTTGTAAAAACCGTCCCATCTTTCTTGCAACTCAGTTTTTAGCGTTTTACAATTGCAATGCTTTCCAAATGGTAAAGGTACAAAAGATTGATTGTTCAACGAACAGAGTAACACAGCCGCTTCTGATTTCTTTTTCAGTTCATCCAAAAAGGATTGGCAGCAATCTTTAAATGATTTCGCAGACGCTGACAGGCCAAGAATACCGAGGCAAAAAACAATTTTCAAAAGAGCGTTCATCATTCATATATCTAAAAAAAACCTATAATGTGGTAATATTAGTGTACATATAGTATGCATTCGTAACACCCGTTTTGCAGTACTAACCTTGGTATATATACAAACCAAATGACGCGATGAAGATAGTCGGACGAGTAATGACAGTTTTGTATGTAGCCTAGCTTGTAATTGTAGGCGTATTTGTAGAATACCATGGATTTAAACTGCTGAAGGAAGATGCGGATGTTTACTGTATAATTAACAATTATTGGATGAGGTTGAGTGTTGATATCACTGATGCGAAAACCGAATTCAATAATTGTTTTATTATGTATTTCCTGCAATTTGTAAAAATGCAGAATATTGACAACAAACTAGCGGCAAAAAATTACGTCACCTACGGATTATTTTCAATGTCGCGTAGGTGGCAAGACATTGAGAATTATATCTGTAGGTTAATTTTTGGCCAATCACAATCGAGATTGCATTAGTAATGCATAGTAATAATCTATTATATGCTGACGGAAGACAGTGAGTAATATCAGTGAGTATTTATCAGTGATTAATATCAGTAAGACCCCAAAACCAGCCCATCTTGTTAGATTTATATAAACTCACGTACTCTCGGCGGTGAGATGTAAAAGCCCTTTCTGATCCCAAATTTTGATGACTAAAGATAAAATTTGCCGACTTACTGACCAGAGTAACCCCCCCCCTTGCACGCACCTCCTGCAGTGTCGCCGCAAAACGTTTGATCTTTGTATTCTTGATACGTGTAAGAATTAGATTACGCGGTGGTATCCATTGAATTTAATTCATCATCATCGTCATCATCTGTATCGTTATTATCATCTTGTTCAACGTTGTCATTGTTTGTTTTAACTTTTCATCGATATGTTCCAGCAATGGTTCATCATCACATCCAGTATTCCAGTTTGAGTAAAAAGCTTGAAAAGAGAACTAGATTCATTACTACATGCCCGCATTGTATTTACACAAGTGAGCTCGTGAAATATAAAAGGGTAACTGAGGAAAACAAATGTATAGAACGTTGATATTGCATGTAAATATTATCAATAAAACGGGCTAGTTTCAATCATCCAAAATACGACGATTTGTTCGAGAATGAGTTGACATCAGCATGCAAGTTTTAACAAAAAATTTCAATGGTCGAAGGCCTTTATAAAAAACAGACTCGGCAACCCTAACCCTACATAAACACGTTGTTAATGTAGACATACCTTTTGAGCCATTCCCAAGAAATACACAACTACTAAGTTATAATCTTGCTCTTTTAAGCAATGTATCCAGCCAAGCAAATACCAAACCTGGAATGAAGGAGAACGATGAACGATATAGAACCAAAGAGTTCTGGGATGTATATGTATAGGCCTACAGTATTTGGACTCTGACTATGATTATAGTTGTATGCAATTATCACTCTTACGAATGCAAAAGAGGACATATACCACAATCTTTCTTGTTTCTTTCACAGCGGAATTTGAAGTCACGTTTGTACGTGTTGACGTGCCGATAATCACATTCACATACGCCAGGGTAAGAATCGTATACGACAAATCGCATAGTGTGAATGGGCCTCACGATTGTGCCGTTTCAGTTTTAGCTAATTGCTCCCACAAGGAAGCGTTGATGTACAAATAAATATTGTATTGCACCGACAGCACCGTGAATATGCATGTGTTGCACAGGGATCATATTATAGCTACCTGAACAAATTCATCATCTTTCGACAAAAGTTCCTCTAGCACATGCACTGCAAGCATTCTATTCAGTGAAAGGACGCGAAAGAAGCACAAATTTTACAATGAAACTGTACAATGTATGTTTATATAATGCAGAGAATTTTTGCATTAATTAAACGAAGAATACAGGGTGTCTCAAAAAAAACGCAACCACTTAAATATGCAAGACATTAAAACAGCTCTAAAGCACAATAGATAAGCACCTCTAGGAATTGAAAATGGCTCTTAATCCTTCATTTAAAATGCTAAAAGTCATTTTAGCTGAACTGTGGCGCAAACCCGAACAATATTAAAATTCTTGCATATTTAAGTGGTTGCGTTTTTTTTTGAGACACCCTGTAGATCAAAGGTATTTGCCAAAGAATTCTTATAATTATGTTGTTGGCAGATGACGTGTGTAACAGCAGTAAATAACAGTATTTCCATCATTTGAAAGGACCGCCGTATCTGTTATTTTAAAGCATAATAACGATCTGCAACAGACTTTGGCTTTCGCACAATCGGCCCCTGACGCCTTTTAAAGTCGTTTACAGAATCGTTGTACAGTACATTCAGTAATAATATTCATTATTATACATTATAGTAGTAAAAGCAACTTGATTGGCTAATAGTTGACAGATAAATCGCGCAATCACGCAAAATTCAGTTATCTGCTAGCAGATAACTGAGTTATCTGCAAGTGAGCCTGCGGTGGTTAACAAGCGGTATTCATTTGAATGTATTTATGTACTAATAATTGATGTATTTTTGGATGTTGCTATTAAATAAGGTTTTTCATTCGTTAATACTATGTTCACTATTCTTCAAATGTATGATAAAACAATTATTGAATTCGGTTTTTGTGATATGCAGAGTTATCAAGGTCTCTATAAGCGTAGCCTCGCCTTCGGCTCGGCTGATAACGCTTACCTCGACCTTGATAACTCTGCATATCACAAAAACCTCATCCAATAATTGTTTATTATTCAGTAATATATAGTACGCAGAAAATGTTTAGATTTTCTTAATAAGAAATTTTTCTTAATTATGTTTTCTTATTAAAAACATTTTCTTCTTATTTCAAAAAAATTTTCAGGAAATAAGTTTTTTTTCTTGAAATAAAAAAACGATTTTTTGCTGTGTAATTACTGTAGCAGAATCTATTTCTAACCTTTAAAGTTGGATCATCGCAGCCATGCCACAGATTGAATCCTTTTAACAAAGTTTCTTTTGCCTCCTAAAATCCAGTATATACATATACAGGGTGAGTCAAAAAAAACGGACACCTTTGAAATTCAAATTAGCTGCGAACTTATAGCTGGAATATGACAATTCCCATGTACAATCAACAAAAACGATTTGATAATACTGTTCTTTTGTATTTACCGAGCTTAGAATGCATTTTAACTCCCAATGGGAACAAACTTTATGTCTTAGGTTAATTAATATGATATGCTTCGTATACCTATGAAATATTTTAAGCAACTTCTGTCACATTACAGCCGCTATGCGACTAATTTGAATTTCAAAGTGTCCGTTTTTTTTTACTCACCCTGTATACTAAATATTTGTGATTTCAAGATATTCAATAATGAAGTAATTTCATGCCCTGAGAAATAAACAAATAAACAGAAAAGCATAAACAAATAAACAAATAAACATAAAGCGAGGTTTGTGTAGTAAATAATGAAGTAATTTCATGCCCTGAGAAATAAACAAACCTCGCTTTTCTGTTCACTCAAGAGAAAATTAGCCATGACTTGATAAGCCTCCGGGTTGTTTCAATCATGTTCTATTGCTTTTTTACCGACCTGCATGTCGTTTCCGCAGATATGTAAAAAATAAAATTAATAAATTGGGGTCGTTGGTATTTTAACATAAATTAGGACATTACCAGCAATCGGTGAGGTATATTTCTGCTAGTAAGCAAAGCGCGTTTGAAATATCTCGATCTAAAATCTCCACCTTTTCAGCACCGCTAGCTGTTATCCTGCATTGAATTAAGATACATTTGTTTGGAGCATAAATTTGAATGCTTATTTGCTTATTAGTATATAAATGAAAAAAAAAAGTGGCAAGATAACGTGGCAAATATACAGTATAACGAGTCGAGATTACTGTCTGTTTTTACCTAAGTTTGTTACTAGTTTCTTAATTTTAGATTCGTTACCACAACGAAAACTAGTACGACTACGAAATTTTTGGAACAATCATTGGTTCTCATAGTCATAGGTTTACGTCTTCATCATCCGCCACTGAAAAACAATACATCGCAAATACGAACCAGCCTATAAATATCTGCTTTATTTACTGAATCCTTTCTCAGCCTCAATTTCTATGGCGTGCTGTAGACACTCTTTTTTCTTCTGGTGAAGAAAAACTCACAAAACGTTTTCTTGACATGCAATTTTATTCAAATCATAGAAGCTTTTAGAGAAAGTACATTACACCAATTTTTCCACAACTAAGCAAACCTGAAGATAATTGTCAGTACCATTTTTGTAAGCCTAATAATTTTTTTAAATAGAATTTAATACCCTATCTAGGTTTTGTTCAAACTATAGTGAACTAAGGCTATATCTAGCCATCTTATTTGAGATAACATAATTATTGCCAATACAGAGGTGGAACCTTAGACCATATATATATATATATATATATATATATATATATATATATATATATATATATATATATATATATATATATATATATATATATATATATATATATATATATATATATATATATATATATATATATATATATATATATATATATAAACAACTTAGCATCAAATGTGGTATAACAACTTAGGAACTAACTCTCTCAGGACTGACGAAGTCCCTCAGGTCGAAACGTTGACAGACAAAGGGAAGAATCCCAGATTCCTAGGATAATTGTGAACCTGGCGTAAGACCTGTTTCACACTCGCTCCTTTGAATCGGGGATCCATTGACTATTCTATATTACTTTCCCGTCTTTCCGATAGACAAAGCATTTTGCGCACCAGCAACCTCAGACAAAGGGAATTCCAGATTTTTAGAACAAGTGTGAACCAGGCTTAGGCCTGTTTCTCATATGTCATCGACACTCGGCGATGCCTTGTTTGTGGCTGGTGACGAAGAAAATTTACTCAAAGTAACAAAAAACGTCATTCATCAATTATCGTCGGTGACATATGAAAACCAGGCTTTATCAGTCCTTCGCCTTTAAAAAACCTTAATCGGCTTGAACTCGTTGTGGTAAATAAGTGAAAGTTACGCAGAGAATATTCATAGGAAGGAATATCGAATTGCAAATGTATATGTAATGCATAATTTCTATTCAATTCTGTTTCATTCATTGCGTGCGAACTTTTGTTGGAATTTGAATGCCTTTTTTATGATTGACATGCACACGATATCAATTAGTGAGCTGTAAAACAGATAAAGAAGATTTTTACAAAAAAACGTTTTCTTAAAGAAAATCGGTAAACTCGTTGAAAGAAAACTCAGGCCAGAAAATTACCGTAAAGAAGGTTTGGATATTCAATGTCTACTAGGAGTGTTTATACGTGAAACGAGACACTATTGCAATGACAATTCGCTGAGGTAAATGAGCTACGTGAAAATACACCTCCAGCGTTTGAGAACGTGAACCGCAAACGTCAAACGGCAAAATTTCAACGTCAAGCTGCGGTTTGCGGTTGAACAAAAAACGTCAAACTAAATTTCTCTCATAACTCTCGAAAAACACATACAAGATAACAATTAAGTTATAAGGTCGGTGCTTTAAAAAATTTCGGGTTTCCAGACATCAGTTGGACTCATGCATGCGCAGGTAAACTTTTGAGCACCTAGCCACAATTATTTTTCCTATAACTATAAGCAATTGAAGTAAATATAATACTGGCTTATTTTGCAATCGTGTATTTAGCTAAAAGTTGGGCTGATCCGACATGTTGACAGTTACATATAGCATCACATTTAAGGGACGAGAACAAATTATATACTTCCTTAAGTCAAAGATCAAACATGTCTGCATTGGCCTAAATAATACAATCGCGCGTATTTTTACGTGTTATGGCCATGGTTATATTAGTTGTGTCAATCAAGGCTGGCCACTACTGACTGTCTTACTGAAGTAAGCCTTCCATCCAGTTGGCGGTATACATAATAATTAACGAGCAATATATGCAGATTGGATCAAGTCCAGCTGCATGCTTAGTTACACAAGATTATATATATGACATTAAAAACTAACAATATCACTAAGAACGATTATAAGGGATTTCAATTAAGCATTAGAATATCACTGACAGCAAGTTGCTTTTCCAATCTTTGCATTTCCTTTGATTCCAGATAGAAAATCAGCCCAGCTCTTTACATTACCAGCGGGTCCACCGGCATTGCAATTTCTGGACATTTTCAAAATCTCGAAAGAAGACAAAACTTTATCCCAAACATTGACTCCGGTCAATTCTCCAGTGGCTGATTGATTAGCATCAAACCCACCTCCAACACTGTCTTGGTCTTGACCCAGCACCCATGTGCCTTTGCCTGGAATTGGCTTTCCAACACTGCCAGAGATTGTGCCACTGCCAACTTTCCTTCCATCCTTGAAAAACGAATATCCGCCATCTTTTGATTGCCAAGTCATACAAATGTGATGCCAGCGTCCGTCGTTAATCTTGATATTGTGTGAGCTAGACAAAATTCACAAACAAGATTGAACTCGTAATTTTAAAGTAGCATTTTCTCACTTAATTGCAGACGCTGTTGCGGAATAGGAAATAATAACTAGGGATCCAAGGATAACGCAAAGTTTCCATGCCCTCTAATACCTAAGCAACCAGACATTTGTCCCAACATAAACGTTTTGACTTATGCCAATAAAAATATAAAGAACTAGGTAAACATTAACCACCCTTAATCAAACAGGGAATTACTCCAAGTACTCAAATTACGTTAGCCGCGATATTGTCATATCAAATTATAATTTTAGTTGATCATGCAAAGCGGGCGCAGTTTTCTCAGTTTAGTATATTACAGGGTTCAGCAAAAAACACCATGTCTCTTCTCTTCGTCAAACAATTTATCATGTGTATAAACAAGTTAACACTATGTATGTGACTGCCTGCCCTGACTGACTGACTTACTGTATGACAGAATGATCGGTATGATTTGGTTGAATTTCCGCCCCTCATCACAAATCACAATGGCTGCAAAGTTTCCTCAAAAACTTTGCACAAAAAAGAGAAAAGTATAAAATCATATAAAAGATTTATTCATTAAAAGATAGAAGTCAGATCGAATAATTTTTGTAAATCAGAAAAAAATATCTTGATATCCTACCTTGAGGAAACTTTCGTTGAATCTGATGCATAATGCACAATGACGAGTCTGAGATTTTGCATGCCCTTAATAATTATCTGGTTTGTTGCTAATGGGACTGCGTAGGAAATGTAATGTGCATATCCCGTTACTTGCTTGGTCTTTACCCAGAAACACGTTGTGACTTCCTTCATCTGAGGAGCTCCCTGGCTTATTGCGTAGTCAACTGTGCTGCGTCTTGTGATTATAATCGACTTTGCATTGGAACCTTGAAAAAAAAATAGAAGAAAAATATATCAAATCTCACATCCGACAATACTGATAAAAAAGAAAACATTGTACCCTTGATTTCCGTAGACATAGTCGTAGTATAAATATAACATGCGCGTTCATATTTGTACTTACATTGCTGTTTCCGCATTAGTCGGCAAAGTTTGTAAAAACCGTCCCATCTTTCTTTCAACTCAGTTTTTAGCGTTTTACAATTGCAATGCTTTCCAAATGGTAAAGGTACAAAAGATTGGTTGTTCAACGAACAGAGTAACACAGCAGCTTCTGATTTCTTTTTCAGTTCATCCAAAAAGGATTGGCAGCAATCTTTAAATGATTTCGCAGATGCTGACAGGCCGAGAATGCCGAGGAAAAAAACAATTTTCAAAACAGCGTTCATCATTCAAATATCTGAAAAAAACTATAATGTGGTAATATTAATAGTGTACATATAGTATGCATTCGTAACACTCGTTTTGCAGTACTAACCTTGGTATATACAAACCAAATGACGCGATGAAGATAGTCGCACGAGTAGGTAATGATAGTTTTGTATGTAGCCTAGCTTGTACTTGTAGGCGTATTTGTAGAATACCATGGACTTAAACTGCTGAAGGAAGATGCGGATGTTTACTGTATAATAATCTATATATTAAATGCTGAAGGAACACACTGATGTCTAATTGTAGTATGAATGATGAATCTCTCCAGGGATTAACTGACAGACCGGGTCTCAAAAGGAATAATTTTGCTCTTCTCAACTAGCAGATATAATATACAATGAATTGAAAGCAAGCCTGCCTGGTTTATTTAATCTAACTTCCAATTCTATGTTTGAACCTGATAAACTCTAAAAAACGCGCGCCTACACTAAGCGGGTTTAGCTTTTAAGGCAGAGGACAACTGCCTAAAAGTGAAATGCAACTGCGCATGCTAACAAGAAATTTGTATAGGAAATTTTCTGCGGCGGACGCGTTATATGATAACAAAAAGAACACAAACATCCTTCCTGTCTGAATTCTGCATGCAAGTATACTGTTGATGAAATTATTCGCAGGACAATTAAATACATAGCTTAAGCAAGTAAAGTACGTATTGTAAATGAGCATAGAATCACGAGCTTTGATTCGGGACGCAATTGTAGAACGAAGCTATACGGTATAGCACATGCAGATGGTATAATTGAAAACGTGTAGTGTACAATTATATTCAGAAGCAATAACGGTGGTATTTCGACAAACCAGGTCTGTTTTCTCTTTTTTCCCTACTTCACAAGATTGTCTGCTGGAGAAGGTTCTTGAAATTTAAAATATTTCAAATAAGGAGTGCATGCACGTATCATTTGTTTTACTCTCGAGTCTCGATTCTCGACACACGCGAACACCAGCCATGCAGATAATTGCCACGTCTTTGTATGGTTGTATTATAATTGTGTCAATCAAGGCCGGTCACTACTGTCTTACTGATGTGGTGAGAATTCTGCATGCAAATGATTTAGAAAACTCGTTTGTCTCATGCATTTTTGAATTCTCACAATTTAAATTTACGAAGCTCAAGCGAAAAATTTCGTTCAATCGAAAATTTGGGCCTAGTGGAGAACCACCTTTATGCTCTCTTCCGCTCTGCGCAAAATGTCGCCAAATCGCTTTTTTATGCGATCAAATGGATAGTCAACCGTCAGCGAAATTAAAACATAAATCACATCAATGACTTCAATTTTTAAAACCAATTTTAATGACGACAGAATGCTGCATGGATAAAACAAATGGCCTTCCATACTGATACGGCTACATAATAATTAACGAACAATACAGATTAGATCAATTCCAGCTGCATGCTTAGTTACACGGATTATATATATGACATAAAAACACTAACACTAAGAACGATTATACGGAATTGCAATTAAGCATTAGAGTATCACTGACAGCAAGTTGCTTTTCCAATCTTGGCATTTCCTTTGATTCCAGGTAGAAAATCACCCCAGGTTTTTACATTACCAGCAGGTCCACCCGCCTTGCAATTTCTGGACATTTTCACAATCTCGAAAGAAGACAAAACTTTATCCCAAATATTGACTCCGGTCAATTCTCCAGTGGCTGATTGATTAGCATTAAACCCACCTCCAACACTGTCCTGGTCTTGACCAAGCACCCATGTGCCTTTGCCTGGAATTAGCTTTCCAACACTGTCAGAGATTGTGCCACTGCCAACTTTTCTTCCATCCTTGAAGAATAAATATCGACCACCCTTTGCTTGCCAAGTTATACAAATGTGGTGCCAGCGTCCATCGTTAATCTTGATATTGTGAGATCTAGACACGATTTACAAACAAGATTGAACTGAGGTTTTTTTTTATTACGAGAAAATGTTGTAGATGTTGCAATAGAATAGGAAATTCTCATAAGTAGATTACTTAAAAAATATTACAGCATTTCGAAAATTCATGGGTGAAAGGAAAAAAATAATTTTCTATAAATCAGAAGAAGGTATATCTGCATTTTCCCACCTTAAAGAATGTGAATTACTGGGATCTGAGTTGTGGTGCCGAATGCATAGTCTTAGATTTGTCTGCGTCATGACGTATATCTGGTTTGTTGCTCCTTGGACTGCGTAGGAAATGTAATGTGCATTTCCCGTCACTTGTTTGGTCTTTACCCAAAAACACATTGTGACTTCGTTCATGTCTGGAGCTCCCTGGCTTATTGCATAGTCAACGATACTGCGTCTTGTGATTATCATCGACTTTGCATTGGGACCTTGAAAAATTAGAAATAAAATGTCAGACCTCAAATTATATTTTAATAAACTATAGTTAATTTAATTTAATAGCCTAAAATTTTGCCGCGTCAACTCAAAAATCCATGCGCACCTAATAAATATAGAGGCCTGTTCGTGACCACTGTAGAATATAATCTGATGTTTGTACCGAATATTTTGCGTATCTGGCCCCCATGCACGCGGCTCCTACGCTCATGTACTTCTGTAAGTGCAATAGCTTACAATATAGAAATTCGTCCGGGGCATAACTGAATATATGAATATCACACCCCCCCCAATTATCAATCTAGTTTTCCCCCACCTACCCTATAGTACAGAGTCTTAGTATATAGTTCCATATATGAGACATTGCGTCATTGTCGTTCCATATATGAGACATTGCGTCAGTGTCATTGCCGGTGCATGGCCATTGGGAAGTCAGTAATAATGAAGACCGTTATATCATGCACATATATACTGCATGATTATACTAAAACTATGATTGTCAATAATTATACTTACATTGTCTGTGCTGTATTGCTGGGCAAAGTTTGTAGTACCGTTCCCACCTTGTTTTCATCTCTTTTGTCAGCGATTTACAACAATTCTTTCCAAGAGGCAAATTTATATAGTCATAGGTTTCAAGATTATTTGGCGAACACAGTAGCGTAGCGGCATCTGATTTTGATTTCAGTTCATCAAAAAACGCGGATTTACAGCGAATATTAGATGATTGCGATGTTGGCGGGACAAACGTGAGTAAAAAAACGAATTTCAAAACGGCCGAGTTCGTCATTTCAAATGTCTAAAACAAATAGAATATAGCTAGCTGTTTATATAGATTTTCATGCATAGCTATACTGGTACTATAACCTAAAGTATATTAAGTTTTAGCTAATAAGGATATTTAGCTAATTTTATAACATTTAGGATACTGTGTGTTGAAAAAGATACACATGCATTTCGGTCTAGATTTTGCCGGAAATTTAACTAAGGGTAGCAGACGAATTGACGGAACTATACCTAACTCGATTCATTGCTTCACCCTGCTTTTCCTATATAGCGATATATAACCTCGATATCCTATATAGATATATATCAAGTTTGTTTTACCATTATGGTTTACCTTGGATCTCACGACTCACGTAACAATTTTCTATCGCAATGTCAATGAGAAAGACTAAACCTTTCCTTCAGGTAGTCCAACGAAAAATGGTGATATTGCTAGATGGATAATGCATTTGATAAAAAAAATCCTCACATTATGCATATATTAATAACATCTTCCTTCAGCAAATTCCTGTACGTATCGTGTATACAGCTATAAATACATGCATATATATTATAGCTTAATAAACATTATTCTATATTTATCAATTCTCTGGCTTTGAAACCTTGATTGGCGTAACTCGTTATATCGGAAATAAGAGAAGTGCGTACTAATTCTGTGTACCCCAAAACGTACCTATATATATGTGAAGTCAAACTTTTGCAGTGGTATTTAGATGCCTTTTTTATATGCTAAACATGCATGCACAAGTGTGTAATTGAAAACGGGACTGTGTGCATTTCTCACAATGAAAGCCTTCAAATGCGTTCTCTCGTATTATTAAATCATCGCGGGTGGCGTACGCCCGCGAGATGCAACTTGAGCAGGGATGGCAAAAACCGTTTACGAATGGGGAATATTGCCTCAGCGAAGCCTTATTATAGCTAGCAAATCTAAACCGAGTCAGAACAAGTGACCCAGTTTTCGGCAGGTCAAGGCATGTCAAATAATGTCTACATAGTCTATATAATGTCTACATAGTATATATAAGGCTATAACTGTTTATATTTATAGGAAAATTAAAAAAATATTTATATACAGAGCTTTACCACTCAGTAACACAGCAAGCATTTCTGGTAAGCCGTTTAAAGGAGTTGCCATTCTCTTTGTTGGATGTTACTATATATAGAATGATCGCCAGAGTTTTGGCTATGCATGCTACTAAATTATATAAAGAATTAGCAGTATATATATAGCATTCGCTCTCGTCAAATAGCTGAGCCTCGTTGGCTGTCAGCTTATATATTTTTTCGTATGTAGTCACTGCAAGATGCATGAGTTTAACTTTAGGATATGTTCGTAAGGATGCACACTCATCCGCATTCGAACCGGCAAATGATAAACGCGCTGTACGTGGAACAATTACTATATATGAAACGAGTTAATTGCGTTATTGATTATATATACGCTCAGGAAAAGCTTCAATCTTCTTTATTGGCTGTTCGAAAAAAACGTTAACCTCCGACTCCGAATAGAACATGCGTTAACACAAGTGTCTGTGTCTTCCTTCAGCAATTCAATTACGCGTATTTTTCATATAAACGCATGAATATCAGCTAAATAAACATTTATAATCCTCGGAATCCTTGGACAAATAAAGCCTCGTACAGACGAGTAAGTTTTCTTGACCCGAGTTCTCCTGCTCGTGCATGCATGCATGTGTATGACGAACAAGCTTTCCTTGACAAGTTTCCGTTGCCACGTTTTATGAATGCCCCTTGAAAAACAGCTTAAATAAACTGAAGGGCTCCCGTTGTTAAATAATTTATTCATAATAATAATTATAATAGTAATTTTATTATATGAACATGAGTGTTATATAGAGTTATACGCCACCGAGAAAAATTGTATTTAAACACAAGTAAAACTTCTTTATTTTTTTCTTGCGGTCCGAATTCATATTTTAGCGTTTCCTGCAATCTGATTGGCTACGCGAGCGGTCCGTATCGGGCCGTACGGACCGCGCGAGATTTAAAAACACAGAGCCAACGCTAAAATATGAAATCGGACCGCAAGAAAAAATCTATTATTTACCAGTTTAGTCGGTCCGTATAGGGAAATATTTTCCTCGGTCTCAAAAACGTCCCTAGGCCTTGGGCCTCGGACTGTTTTTGAGACCTTGGACAATATTTCCCAATACGGACCTCCAATCTGGTAAATAACATATATATTTCCTCGTAACCATATAATATTCCCTATATATATACGGATTGGCGTAATCTGTACAGAGTAAAAAAAATACTATAATAAAAAGTTAGGTTTTCTTGTTTATTTCATGTCGGAATCAGGTCAATTCCTTAGTGGCTGATTGATTAGCATCAAATTGATCAAACCCACATCCAACGCTGCCTTGGTCTTGACCCAGCACCCGTGTGGCTTTTCCTGGAATTGGATTTCCTGTACTGTCAGGGATTGTGCCTTGTAAACCTTGTAAAATGAATGATTTACAAACAAGATTGAACTCATTTAATATTACGAGAATTTTCCTTCTCTATTGTTATTGTAGATATTGCAGAATAGGAAATTCTCATTGAAAATATTTGAAACTGTTTTCTATAATTAAATCAGAAAAAGGTATATCTGCATTTTCCCACCTTAAAGAATGTACCTATACTGAGTTATGGTGCCAAATGCTTAGTATTAGATATTTATGCGTCATGACGTATATCTGGTTTGTTGCTATATTGACTGCGTAGGAAATGTAATGTGGATTTCCCGTCACTTGCTTGGTCTTTACCCAGAAACACATCGTGATTTCCTTCATGTCTCAGTGGAACTGCCTGGCTCACAAATGCTGCGAAATTGTGAAAAATCGACCGTAGCGGTTGCCTCGACCGGGCACAAATGAAAAGAAAATCCAACGAAAAACTTCGTTCCATCGAAAAATACAGCCCAGTAGAAAACCGCCTTTATTATCCTTTATGCTCTTATGCAGTTGCTGATTCCGCGATCCACGCAAAATGTCGCATAATTTATTTTTGCGATTAAATCAAATTTCGTGTAACATCAGACTTTCCGCGTTTGACGTCATTATAAGAAAGGTCTATTTTGCAATTTCTTGAGGGTTTTTTTTGCTTCCAAATTTCTTTCAATTTACAGTCTTTCCTTCAGAACTGGGAATCTTTAATTTTTTTAAGCTCCCAAATCATACTGAAATTTTTCAAGCTAATTTTGTTTGCATTGCCAGGACTTGAAACATTTGTCCTTCGATTGAGAGACCAAGGTCTTAACCACTAGACCACCACATCATTCGTTGAAAGCTATTGTTCTTTATTTGACCTAATTATCCCTTTCGAAGTATTTTAAATCAAATAGTAATTTCGTTGGCAAAAAACCTTTGCTATGCAGGATTCGAACCTACGGCGATCGTGTGTTGATACAAAACTTACATATATATATATATATATATATATATATATATATATATATTATATATATATATTATATATAATGATAAATGTTGTGATAGAAACTATCGTGATGACAGAAACTAACGCATACAAAATCGTCCGGACAGAGTGCTCAATGCTTGCGCAGAGCGATATAACACAGGATGAGAAACACGAGTTACTTCATCGAATTTTATTTACTACAGAGCTGTTTCGTATGACAAGCGTTTATATATACCTACATATATATATATATATATATTTATTTAGGTATGTATTAATATATATATATATAATAATTATATATATTATATATATATATAATTATATATATAAATATATATATATATTAATATATATATATATACACCCATTTGCAAAAACATTGGCCGCAGATAGATAGATAGATAGATACTCGAAGTCTAATTAGAATTGCATATGACACAACATATGCAATTCTAATTAGATCTCGAGTATCTATCTATCTATGTATATGCGGCCAACGTTTTTGCAAATGGGTGTATATATATATATATATATATATATATATATATATATATATATATATATTATTTCACAAAAACCCAAAGCGCCCCGTTTAAGCTTGCAAGAAGTAGACGAAAAAACGGGGCCAGGTATGAGACCAAGAGTCGAAGGTTCAGTATAATATATGACATTGATCGATGTGGTGATTGTGGGTTTATTACACGGTCACTAGCTGCTACAGCGAAGGGTTTTTTAATACTTAAGGCGGGTTTTCACTAGGCGAAAGAAACTCACAGATTCAGTGAACAACCACTCCGTGTTCCATTTCTATTACTGAGTGATAGTCGCCCCATCGCTTTTTTGGGATCAAATGGGCAGTCAACCGTCAGCGAAATTAAAATATATACATCACGACAATGACAAATATGACAATACTTGTAAAACCAATTTTAATGACAACAGAATGCTTTATGGATAAATCAATTGGCCTTCAATACAGATATATGACCACATAATAAACGATAATAATTAACGAGCAATACAGATTAGATCAACTCCAGCTGTATGCTTGCTTAGTTTCACGGATTGTATATATGACATCAAAATACTAACACTAAGACTATTAAAAGGAATTGCAATTAAGCATTAGAGTATCACTGACAGCAAGTTGCTTTTCCAATCGTGGCGTTTCCTTTGATTCCAGATAGAAAATCAGCCCAGCTCTTTACATTACCAGCAGGTCCACCGGCCTTGCAATTTCTGGACATTTTCAAAATCTCAAAAGAAGACAAAACTTTATCCCAAATATTGACTCCGGTGAATTCTCCAGTTGCTGATTGATTAGCTTCAAACCCACCTCCAACGATGTCTTGGTCTTGACCCAGCACCCATGTACCTTGGCCTGGAATTGGCTTTCCAACACTGGCAGGGATTGTGCCACTGCCAACTTCACTTCCATCCTTGAAAAATGAATATCGACCACCATTTGCTTCCCAAGTTATACATATGTGGTGCCAGAGTCCATCGTTGATCGTGATATTGTGTGAGCTAGAAAAATTTACAAACAACTATTGAACTGGTAATTTTATATTACGAGAATTCTCTCGAATCTGAGTCTCGCCGTCAATTGTTGCAGTAGAATATAGGAAATTCTCATAAGTATAGAAAACTTTTATTTAAAGAATTTGAATTTGATGGGTGTAAGGAAACAAAATCATTTTGTATATTGCATTTTCCCACCTTAAAGAATGTACTTTACTGGGGTCTGCGCCCTGGTGCCAAATGCTTAGTCTTAGATTTGTCTGTGACATCACGTATATCTGGTTTGTTGCGAATGAGGCTGCGTATGAAATGTAATGTGCATATCCCTTCACTTGCTTGGTCTTTACCCAGAAACACATCGTGACTTCCTTCATCTGGGGAGCTCCCCGGGTTATTGCGTAGTCAACAGTGCTGCGTCTTGTGATTATCACGGACTTCGCATTTGGACCTTGAAAAATTACAAAATAAAATAAATCAAACCTTACGTTCGACATATTGGAAAAAACAAAATGTTGACTATTGATTATTGTATACAATATACCCTTGATTACCCTTAGTATATATGTGTACCATATTTGTACGTACATTGCCGGGTTAGTCGGCAAAGTTTGTTAAAGCCGTCCCATCTTTCCTTCAACTCATTTTTTAGCGTTTTACAATTGCAATACTTTCCAAATGGTAAAGGTACAAAAGATTGATTGTTCAACGAACAGAGTAACACAGCAGCTTCTGATTTCTTTTTCAGTTCATCCAAAAAAGATTGGCAGCAATCTTTAAATGATTTCGCAGACGCTGACAGGCCGAGAATGCCAAAGAAAAAAACAATTTTCAAAACAGCGTTCATCATTCAAATATCTGAAAAAAACCCTATAATGTGGTAATATTAGTGTACATATAGTATGCATTCGTAACACTCGTTTTGCAGTACTAACCTTGGTATATACAAACCAAATGACGCGATGAAGATAGTCGGACGAGTAACAGTAGTTTTGTATGTAGCCTAGCTTGTACTTGTAGGCGTATTTGTAGAATACCATGAACTTGAACTGCTGAAGGAAGATGCGGATGTTTATGGTATAATAATCTATGATCTGCTGAAGGAAGACACTGATGTCTTATGTGGTATGAATCTATCCAGGAATTAACTGACAGGTCGGATCTCGAAAGGAATAATTTTGCTCTTTTCTAATTAACAGGTATCATATACAATAAATTGAAAGCAAGCCTGTATACTTCATAAAAAATCTCGCCTAAATTAAATGGCGCAACAGGGTAAGCGAGTTTAGCTCTTAAGGCCGATGACAATTGCCTAAAACTGAACTGTAACTGCGCATGCTAACAAAAGATGAGAAATTTGTATAGGAAATTTTTTGCGGCGCTCGCGTTATATGATAACAAAAAGAACACAAACATCCTTTCTGAATTCTGCATGCAAGTATACTGTTCATGAAATTATTCGCAGGACAAATAGTTTAAGCAAGTGCGTATTGTAAATGAGCATAGAATAAGTTTAACTAAATAAACATTGTAAACTTATACGACGAGCTTTGATTCGGGACGCAATTGTAGAACGAAGCTATACGGTACAGTATACAGATGGTATAATTGAAAACGTGTAGTGTACAATTATATTCAGAAGCAATAACGGTGGTATTTCGACAAACCAGGTCTGTTTTCTGCTTTCTTCCCTGCATGCTTCACAAGATTGTCTGCTGGAGAAGGTTCTTGAAATTTAAATTTCAAATAAGGAGTGCACGCACGTATTATTTGTTTTACACTCGAGTCTCGACCACTGACCTATACTAGATTATAGATTCTAGTATAGGCAGTGGTATCGACACACGCGAACACCAGCCGGATAATTGCCGCGTCTTCAATTAAACACGGTTACAGGACAGTGCTACAAGTATACTCCCATATACAAGGGAACCTTTCGGTATTGATTACTTCTGAATTTTCAAACGCGTCAACAAGCATGCACCCACGGTTAATAGACTTTAATTACAGCAAATAATTCAGGTAGAGTAATAGCGGGAAACTGAAGCTAATTCAGTGTGTTCATTAGCCAGAGACCAGATATTTAACATGCCATTAACTGTACGGTTACACTATGCTAAAAAAATTGATGCTACATATTTTTGAACGTAGAGACTCTGGACTACCAGCCATTCCATGGGGATTTAAAATGTTTAATCGGCTACAGTGAGTAATATCAGTATAAGACACAAAAACCAGCCCATCTTGTTAGATTTATATAAACTCACGTACTCTCGGCGGTGAGATGTAAAAGCCCTTTCTGATCCCAAATTTTGACGACTAAAGATAAAATTTGCCGACTTACTGACCAGAGGGGGCGTTCTAAACCGCCTCCCTTGCATGCACCTCCTGTAGTGTCGCCCCAAAACGTTTAATCTTTGTTGACTATTCTTGATATGTGCAAGATCACACAGTCGTATCCATTGAATTTAATTCATCATCATCGTCATCATCTGTATCGTTATTATCATCTTGTTCAACGCTGTCATTGTTTGTTTTAACTTTTACTTCAGATAAAAGTTCATCAATATGTCCCAGCAATGGTTCGTCATCACATCCAGTTTGAATAAAAAGCTTGAAAAGCGAACTAGATTCATTACTGCATGCCCGCATTGTATTTACACAAGTGAGCTCGTGAAATGTAAAAGGGTAACTGAGGAAAACAAATGTATAGAACGTTGACACTGTAAAATCCACCCGTATACAAAACGTTTGTGAGAAAAGAGATATAGAGATTTCAAGCTTTCAATGACAATTGTGCTCATCAAAAATTTAATGGTCGAAGGCCTTTATAAAGAACAGACTCGCAACCCTAACCCTACACAAAAACGTTGTTGATGTAGACATACCTTTTGAGCCATTTCCAAGTAATACACAACTAAGTTATAATCTTGCTCTTTTAAGTACTCTATCCAGCCAAGCAAATACCAAACCTGGAATGAAGGAGAACTATGAACGATATAGAACCAAAGAGTTTACACTTCTGGGATGATATATAGGCCTTAGACTCTGACTATGAGTAGTTGTATGCAATTATCATTCTTACGAATGCAAAAGAGGTCATATACCACAATCATTTTTATTTCTTTCACAGCGGAATACACAGGGTAAGAATCGTATACGACAAATCGCATAGTGTGAATGGGCTTTACGATTGTGCCGTTTTAGTTTTCGCTTCCTTCCACAAGGAAGCGTTGATGCACACATACTGTAAATATTGTATTGCACCGTGAATATGCATGCGTTGCACAGGGATCATATTATACCTGAACAACTTCATCATCTTCCGACAAAAGTTCCTCTAGCACACTGCAAGCATTCTATTGAAAGGACGAAAGAAGCAGCAAGTTTACAATAAAACTGTACAATGTATGTTTATATAATGCAGAGAATTTTTGCATTAATTAAACGAAGAACAGATCAAAGGTATCTGCCACAGAAGTCTTATGTTGTTGGCAGATGACGTCATCCTTTAATGTGTAACAGCAGTGAATAACAGTATTTCCATAATTTGAAAGGACCGCCATATGTATTATCTTAAAGCATAATAACGATCTGCAACAGACTTTGGCTTTCGTACAATCGGTCCCTGACCACTTTTAAAGTCGTTTACAGAATCGTTGTAGTTCATTCATTTACAAAATTAAAAATCCCAACTCATGTATAAATTTTTACTCACATCCAACTCGTTCACCTCTATTAACATTTTTGAAAGTGATATCCTTGATTCGTATGAAGGCATCCTAGCACTCTGAAAAAAATTCGTGACTGAAAAATTGCTTCGCACTGAAAAATTTCACACCAAAATGTTGGACTGTATAGAGTATTACACTATATTCAGTAATAATATTCATTATTCAGTAATATGTAGTACGCAGCAAATGTTTAAATTTGCAATTACTCTAGCAGAATTACTCTAGCATTACTCTACTGTCTTACTGATGTGGTGAGAATTCTGCATGCAAATGAATTTAGAAAATTCGTTTGTCTCATGCATTTTTGAATTCTCACAATTTAAATTTAGGAAGGCCAAGCGAAAAATTTCGTTCAATCGAAAATTTGGGCCTAGTGGAGAACCACCTTTATGCTCTCATCCGTTCTGCGCAAAATGTCGCCAAATCGCTTTTTTGCGATCAAATGGATAGTCAACCGTCAGCGAAAATAAAACATACATGACATCAATGACTTCAATTTTTAAACCTAATTTTAATGACGACTCAATGCTGCATGGATGAATCAAATGGCCTTCCATACAGATGGCTACATAATAATTATCGAGCAATACAGATTTGATCAATTTCAGCTGCATGCTTGCTTAGTTACACGGATTATATATATGACATCAAAATACTAACACTAAGAATGATTATAAGTTGCAATTAAGCATTAGAATATCACTGACAGCAAGTTGCTTTTTCAATATTAGCATTTCCTTTGATTCCAGACAGAAAATCAGCCCAGGTCTTTACATTACCAGCGGGTCCACCGGCTTTGCAATTTCTGGACATTTTCACAATCTCGAAAGAAGACAAAACTTTATCCCAAACATTGACTCCGCTGAATTCTCCAGTGGCAGATTGGTGACGTTGAAACCCACCTCCAACACTGTCCTGGTCTTGACCCAGCACCCATGTGCCTTGGCCTGGAATTGTCTTTCCAACACTGCCTGGGATTGTGCCATTGCCAACTTCATTTCCATCTTTGAAAAATGAATATCGACCACCATTGGCTTGCCAAGTTATGCAAATGTGGTGCCAGAGTCCATCGTTAATCGTGATATTGTGTGAGCTAGACAAATTTTACAAACACTGAATTAACCTGATGATTTTATATTACGAGAATTCTCTCACCGTCAATGTTGCAGTAGAATAGGAAACTTTCATAAGTATTACATCATTAAAAAAAGGTATATCCGCATTTTCCCACCTTAAAGATAGTGAATTACCCAAATTTGAGTTGTGGTGCCAAATGCTTAGTCTTAGATATTTATACGTCGTGACGTATATCTGGTTTGTTGCTCCTTGGACTGCGTAAGAAATGTAATGTGGATATCCCGTCACTTGCTTGGTCTTTACCCAGAAACACATCGTGACTTCGTTCATCTGAGGAGCTCCCTGGCTTATTGCGTAGTCAACCGTGCTCTGTCTTGTGATAATCATCGACTTTGCACTGGGACCTTGAAAAATTAGAAGTAAAATGCCAGCCGTCAAATGATATTGTAGATCATATAATTATATATATAATGAAGTAAACCAAGTTTATTGTTTTTTTATCTTCGTGTTATTAGCTCTATACTTCGGTATATCGAGCACTCTACTCATATATAATTATGAGCCGTTTTCATGCCCTTATATATATACTATAAAACTATATATGATTGTTGATAATTACATTGCTTGTTCCGTATTGCTGGGCATAGTTTGTTGTAACTGCATGTACCAACTTTTTTCCAACTCTGTTGTCAGCGATTCACAACAACTCTTACCAAGAGGCAACTTTATATAGGTTGCCTTGTTTGGCGAACAGAGTAGCGTAGCGGCATCTGATTTTATTTTCAGTTCATCAAAAAACGCGGATTGACAGATATTACATGATTGCGATGATGTTGGCAGGACAAACGTGAGGAAAAAAACGAATGTCAAAACGGAGTTTCCAATTGTCATTTCAAATGCCTACAAATATAATACATACACTGTGATATACATGGTAGCTAACTTTGTATTGAAATGTAGCAACAACAAAAAATTTTACAGCATGTATATATATTATATATATATTATATATATATATATATATATATATATATATATATATATATATTAGTGCCAACGTCTATAAAAGTCTTTCTTAGCTTTCATTATATAATAAAGACATTGTTTGAACCGGGGATATATGTTCAGTTAAGTGTAAACGAACAAACTGATTTCGATTTAAACTTTCAAAACCCCCGGAGGTTTATTTTTCTAAGCAAGTCGTCTGTAGTATATGTAGTGCCATACATGCATCTTCTAAGAAATGAAAAATGGCTTCCGTGCGAATTTTGAATACACACTATACTGCATGAATATGGTTTTTAACGAAAAACAAACTAAAATATGAAACTTTTTACAGAGTTCAAAAAATACACATGCATTTCTAGGTTTTGCTGGAGAATTAACTCACTAAACATCGACCTGAAAGAGTGTTAATGTTAGCTGACGATTTAACGTGGAACTATATAATTATCTAAAATTCGATTGCTTCACTCTGCTTTTCTTAACGATTAATCTTTATCATCTCTCTAATGAATGCAATAAGCTTTATATTTTCTAATCAATGCCCTGCATGGGTGCGTAACTGCACGGCATGCACGCGTGCGGAAGCTAAAAGTTCGAATTGGTTGTTAAACATATCAATAGATGAAAAATATGGTTATATCAACTTTTTCTTACCATTATTGTATGGTTTAACTTGTACCTCGCGTAACAATTTTCTCTCGTAATGTCGATAAGAAAGACGCCAACCTTCCCTTCAGGTAGTCAAACAAGAAATGGCATAATTATATTGCCAGATGATGTATTATATAGTGTGAAAAAATCTGTTCCTGGACTGCATGTTTTTCATCAGTGTCTTAATTCCTTTAGTATTTCAAGTAGGAAGTACGTATCCCTTTTAAGAGCTCCTTTGTACTGTCACGTCTTCTGTACGTAAGTATACACACGTAAAAGTTTAAAATCGCTTAAATGCCACTTATGAATGCAATGATCAAATAGATGCATGGGGTTGGATTCTGTAGATTTGGTGTGTTTCTCTGGCATAAAGTTAGTTCACACTTGTCCTAAGAATCGGGGATCCATTGTATTATTTTCCGATAGGCAAAGCATTTTGCGCACCAGTGACCTCATGCAGGCAAAGGGAATCCCTGATTCGTAGGATAATTGTGAACCTGGCTTAAGGCCTGTTTCACACTAGCTCTTAAGGCTAAGAATCGGGGATCCATTGCTTATTGCATATTACTTTCCGATAGACAAAGCATTTTGCGCACCAGCAGCCTCAGACGAAGAGAATTCCTGATTTTTAGGACAAGTGTGGACAAGGCTTAGGCCTGTTTCTCAATTGCCACCAGCACTCGGCGATGCATTGCAGTGTGAAAATTTACTCAAAGTAACAAATAACGTCATTCATCAATCATCGTCGGTGACATATGAAAACCGGGCTTTATAATCCTTCGCCTTTGAAACCTTAATCAAATTGAACTCGTTGTGGTAAATAAGTGAAAGTCACGCAGAGAATATTCATAGGAACGAATATCGAATTGCAAATGTATATGTAATGCATTATTTCTATTCAATTCTGTTTCATTCATTGCGTGCGAACTTTTGTTGAATTTGAATGCCTTTTTCATGTTTGACACACGAGTGCATTTCAAAGTGGATTCTTTATAATTGCGTCATCTTGCCTAATAACCAACGTTCAACAAAAGCAGCTCTGTTTGCACTAAAATGGGTCCAAGAAAACGCTAGCTTGGAAATTCATATAAGCCATATTACATTGAACAAGACGCCGTTCTGGCGTTAACTCCGGCGCACGTGCCAGTCTTCAATATAGAGCTTCTGAACATAAACAATACAGTTCGCGTATTGTTTCGCATACATATTCGCATTTAGATGCCTTACGAACCTAAATGTTCGATCGCGAAATTCAGAAGCACATCGCAGTATAGAAGTTCAATTGTTCAAAAATGTAAATAAACCGCATGATACATTCGCTTCGTCTTACACTTTGCCTTTGGAATTCGCGCTTATATAGTTATATTAAATCTTCGATCCTGTGCAAACTACGCGACGTGTCAACGCGCCCATACACGACCACATCATCTTGTTAAACGGTGAAATAGCAGCGATATTATTAAAATAGGACCGGGTCTACATGTATTAAATATATTCTTACCCCAATTCAATCTAAACTTAATCGAACAGCATGAAAAGAACGGTTTATTTGTTCCTCTTGGAGGAATTGCCGTATCATGCGAGCGAAATCGAATCGCGCATTGGAAAATTAGCCAAAGCTGTGCACCACAACTCTTGGGAGATAAGACTGGGACGTAGATAAATACGGTCACATACACATTTTAAATACTAGTATATTTCGCGCCATTACAGACTTGCGACGACGAAAAATAAAAAAAAAAACAAAAAAAAAAACCGGGGCGAATTTTCAACTCCGTCGCTGACGCCGGAGTAATTAGCCGAGTGATTGCATGCTTAGAATCAATTAGTGAGCTGTAAAACAAGTGTACAAATGTTGCCATAAGCATTTTTATGCATGATGCAGTAAATTTTGTTTGTACGCCGACCTTTGTCGAAAAGCGTATCGCACTTCCGTTGTACTTTTGGTACGCGTATATAATTTATCACAATAAACACTCGTTGTTCCGCGGTCAGCTGTACATTTTTTTTCGAAGCAATAACAAGGCTAATTTAAATTTGATCATATTCACAATTTCAAATTTTTGGGCTAAAATTTGTTAACACGGCATATTCAAATTTTAACAATGAGTGATTTCAATAGTTTTCGGGTTTTTTTGAGACACCCTGTATGTTATCAACTGTACCAATTTACCGAGATATAAGACGTTGAAAACATCGTTTTTACGTTTAGGGACAATCTATAGAGCCTAATTCGAGGTAGCGCACACTGGGTTCTGAAATGCAGACGTTCTACATAGGACGTAATAAACAACGTTTTGCGGTTGTAAACAGAACGTAGATCACGTCTAAAACTCCCATAGGTATTTAATAATTCATTTCTTTTCAATGAAGCATTCAGTATTGATAGCTGCCGTCGTCGTGTTTCCGTCCTACATGCTTAAGGTCCCTAATGACTGATGAAGGATTTAAGCACAAAAATAAACACAAATTCCCACGTACGTGCTATTTTTCATGAGTGAAAATGACTTGTTCAAGACAATTATGAATAAATAAAAACAAGGCTTCACTAGAAGACAAACATTCGATCCTTTTCAGTACTGTTTATAAAAATAAATCTCATACCATGCATGCAGGACAGACCGAAGGACAGACGGTGACAGACTGTGCGACTGTCATCATGCATGCACAGTGTTTTCCAACTTCAGCAATTAAAATACGTATTTTCAAGTAAAGGTAAATAAAAACTTACTTAGCCATATAATCTTTTTATTCGCCAAGTTGCTTCATGTAAACCTGCAACAATTTTGTTCATTAATTCTGCGCACAAAGTCGTCCAATCGCTTTTTGTGATCAAATGGTTGACCAGTCAACTGTCAGCGAAATTAAAACATGAACACCATGCATGCTAACTTGAACTTTTTAAAGCAATTAAAAAAAGGGCGACCGAATGCTGGATGGATAAATCAAATGTTCTTCCATGCAGTTGGCTACTTAAAAATTAACGATCATTACAGATTAGATCAAGTCCAGCTTCTTGCTTAGTTACACGGATTATATTGTATTACATCAAAATACAATGTAATAAAATTGATGAAAAAAATCTCTCTGAACATGTTTAATATCAGTGTTTTCCTTCAGGTATTTGTCATACGTCACCGACACTCGACGATGCGCGTTGTTTGTGGCCGCTGATGCAGAAAATTTATTCAAAAGAAAAAAGAACCTCATTCTGCAATGATCGTCGGTGACATATGAGACCAGGCTTTGAAACCTTCATTGGCTTCAACTCGTTAATGAGAAATATATAAAGTGAAGGTTACGCAGAGAACATCCATATATATAGGAACGAATATCGAATTGCAAATGTATATATCATGCATTATTTCAATATTCGTTCTGTTTCATTCATTTGCGTGCGTACTTTCTTTCGGAATTTGAATGCTTTTTTATGCTTTTACGCATGCACAAGTACATCAAAGTGGGTGCTTTATAATTAGGACACCCTGCATGCGTAATAACCAACGTTCAACAAAAGTCCCGTTTACAAGTGTAAAAAAACGCTAGTCTTTGAAATTCATACAGGCCATACTACATTGAATTAGCCTGACAAGTATAATTGCTACGAATCAATTAGTATAAAACAAAGATTTTTTATTTAGATGACGTGATCGAAAACCGACACAGAAATAATGAGTGTTTCGTACAACTGTTGTGTACAGTTTTGATCAATTGGAAGATGAAGAAATAATTGTATAAAATAACCATCTATTTAAGATTTATTGATCTCCTTGGTAAATTTAATAGACACGTTTTCGTCAGAAACGTGGCGACCGGGCGGTGTGCGGGATGTGTAACCCTCACGTGTGATGTGAAATATGAGGGGCCTATAAGCCTTGTTCGCACTTGTCCTAAAAAATCTGGAACTCCCTTAGTCTGAGGTCGCTGGTGCGCAAAATGCTTTGTCTATCGGAAAGTTATATACAATATTCAATGGAATTCTTTGGAGTAATATACAATATTCAACCCGATTCTTTGGAGCTAGTATGAAACAGGCCTTAAGCCAGGTTCACAATTATCCTACGAATCTGGGATTCCCTTTGCCTGCATGAGGTCACTGGTGCGCAAAATGCTTTGCCTATCGGAAAATAATACAATGGATCCCCGATTCTTAGAACAAGTGTGAATTAACTTTATGCCAGAGAAACACACCAAATCTACAGAATCCAACCCCATGCATCTATATACCCCTTGCATTCATATCAGTGGCATTTAAACGATTTTAAACTTTTACGTGTGTATACTTACGTACAGAAGACGTGACAGTACAAAGGAGCTCTTAAAAAAAATACGTACTTCCGTACTTGAAATACCTAAAGGAATTAAGACACTGATGAGTGATGTTAAAAATGTAGTCCAGGAACGGATTTTTTCACCCTATATAATACATCATCTGGCAATATAATTATACCATTGAAGGGAAGGTTGGCGTCTTTCTTATCTAGAGAAAATTGTTACGCGAGTTACAAGTTAAACCATACACATAATGGTAAGAAAAAGTTGATATAACCATATTTTTCATCTATTAATTGATATGTTTAACAATCAATTCGAACTTTTAGCTCCTGCACGCGTGCATACCGTGCAGTTACGCACCCATGCAGGGCATTATTAGAAAATATGAAGCTTATTGCAATTATATTAGAGAGATGATAAAAATTAATCGTTAAGAAAAGCAGAGTGAGGCAATCGAATTTTAGATAATTATATAGTTATATAGATTAGTCCACGTTAAATCGTCTGCTAACATTAACACTCTTCCAGGTTGGTGTTTAGTAAGTTAATTCTCCGGCAAAACTTAGAAATGCATGTGTATTTTTTGAACTCTATAAAAAGTTTGATATTTTTGTTTGTTTTTTTGTAAAAAAACATATTCATGCGGTATAGTGGGTATTCAAAATTTGCACGGAAGCCATTTTGTATTTCTTAGAACATGCATGTATGGCACAATACATATGCTCCAGACGACCTGCTTATAAAAATAAACCTCCCGGGTTTTAAAAGTTTAACTTGAGTCAGTTTGGCATGAATTTTAACTGAACATTATCCCCGGTTCAAACAATGTCTTTATTGTATGAAATGAAAGCTAAGAAAGACTTCTATAGAAGTTGGCACTGATATATATGAATATATGCTGTATAATTTTTTTTTTGTAGCTATATATATCAATACAAAGTTAGCTACCATGTATATCACAGTGTATGAATTATATTTGTAGGCATTTGAAATGACAATTGAAAACTCCGTTTTGACATTCGTTTTTTTCCTCACGTTTGTCCTGCCAACATCATCGCAATCATGTAATATCTGTCAATCCGCGTTTTTTGATGAACTGAAAATAAAATCAGATGCCGCTACGC